CCTTGTTGTATTTGCGCCCGTCCGGCGCCCGGCTATATCAACATAGAAGGCTGTCGCAATCTGTGTAGTACTTTTTACACTCGGCTACAAGTTCGGGGAATGTATGAATGGGTCGTAATTTTGCGGTGCGTTTCTGCGTCGCCTTGTGGGCAAAGAAGTTGTCCGTTATTGGAACATGCACAAGGGCTATGTTTCAAACCTCTGGTGTTGTACTCTCTCTCGTCCCTCATTTGTCTTCCTCCGTTTCTTGGCAGAGTGGTCAATAACGACGTCCTCGTCAACAACCTCTTGGAAGTCTATCTCGCGTTCGAGGCACTCACCGACCACCCGTACGAGTTTTCCAGCATTATTGATGGCTTCTTTCCACTGCTCACGTCTTGCGATGGCTGCAACAAGCTGGCCACCAACAACATGACGTTAGACAAGTTCCTCAAACAACGCGAGAAACAGATCATCGACATGGACCTGTCGGCGTGTTGGCTTACTCTGAGCATGTTGTCGCCGTTAGTTTTCTTCAAGCGACTGCAGTTCGTGTACACCACGCCCATGACGTTCAGCCGCCACAACCGCAAGTCGAACATATTTGTGCTAGGCGCAAGGGGTCCTGTTTCCAATCAATCGTTGGATGGCCTTAACCACGAGGTACTCACAGAATGGGTAAACAAGGAAGTAAAAGGGGTTGTCGATGCCTTGAACGGTGCTAATCTTACTACCCTGCAGAAGCTTTACAAGGATTGCTCGCTGTCGCTGAAGAAGACCACCGGCCAAAGGTGAGGTGCTGTGCTCTTGGTAGCTGTATGTTGGCGAGGTTTGGTTTGGAATAAACAAACTCTTCAAGTCGAGCGAGGTGCACGCGAACTGGGTTTGTTGCTTATATTCGATGAGGGTGCCGCTTGTTGGAAACTGTGGGGATACGATAGGGAGCTGTCAAGAGTGCAAGAGCACCCTGCTATCGCTTCGGCTGTTTTGAGCTGGCTGTTCTGTCGTAGCATCCAGCGAAACAAGCAAGTTCTTGAACATTTGTCTCTCGTCAAGTATCCCTTCATGTTCTTTCCGGCAAATGTTTTTTCGTCGTTTGAGAGATGCCTCGATTTCCTGCTTTTTGCCCATTGTCCTCCCCCCCGTCAGGCCCACAACCAAACCCGAGCGGGTGGACGTGTTCACCCGCTTGCATGCTAAGGGCTTTGGAGAGAATGGTGGCAGTGTGGAGTGTTCAAAGGCGCTTATGGGGCGGGGTTATTCGGCGACCACTGGTGTTGAGGGGTTCTACGTGCCTAGTGGAGTCCAAATAATGCATATGTTTCTGTTTTGCAAGGTGAGGTTTGGATTTTTTTTTTTTTTGCGGAGTCGAGTCGCTGAACGTCGGGAAAAAAAATTGGAGATTCTTGTTTTCGATGAGAGTACACGGTGAAACCCAAATATTGGAGATTCAAGGGCACCTGTCCGGATCGCCGGGGAGGTAGTATTAGAAGTCGCGTCCTCCAAGAAGTGTAGTGGTGCTCATTTTTCTTATTATCAACTCTCTCTTTCATGCCTCTCATTGTGTGTCATTGCTGATGCCCTTGCACCCTGTTGCAGCATTTGCCACTCCTGCTCGTCACAGATCTCATGTGCAAAGCCTCCGCGATTGTCAAGAATGGCGGGGCCCTCCCTCGGGTAGACGGGCGGGTAGACATTCCTGGGTTGGCCGCACTCGGAACGAACACCCAAGGCATTCCGCAAGAGCGTGGGGAGCCTGTTGAAGAGCCCAAATGCACCCAAGAAAACGTGTACAATGAATGCATTGCGCGATGCCCAATTAGATCCGCCTGTGCAGCGCGGGGTGGACTTTGATTACCTCCTTCGCCAATATGCTGAGGATGCCGGACAGAGTGAATACAGACAAGAGTTTACGTCCCTAGCCCGGCGCCTTCTGCATGACCTACACAGCAAGAGCCGGTATTCCGTCGATCTCGTTGAGGTCGTTGCAGTGCTTCGCGCACGAGCAGTCGCGATCGCACAATCGGTAGAATCGGGCCTGTTGTCGGGGAGCGGTTTAGAACCATACGCGTTTGGGCTGACAAGGTTGAGGGCATGGCAACCCCCCCTACTTGGACCTGCTTTCAAAGCTCGATTGCTCCACAACCGAAAGTGGGTACTGAACGGACCTAAAACGTCCACGGAAAGCTCGGCGAGATGCTTGCAAAACTACAGTACCATATTTGGTGTTGCCACAGCCTTCGTGTTGAAGCAATCGAGCATTCTTGAAGATCAGTCTAGGGGGGGTGCAATCTCTCCGCCTCTTACGCTACATCAATAATATTTTTTCAGGCCGTCGGTGGGCATCACTGACTCCTATCTTCTGAATTTAAAACGCACATAAACTCGGGGCCAGCCTCCGACAGGTCGGATGTCTACGTTCGTTGGTCAATACTCGCTAAAAACTCCTTGTATGCACACTTACATTCGTGAGTCGCGGGCAACACAAGTTGAATAAACAATATTTCGGTTGGTGATTTGACAGCCAGGGGGGGGGGCATGGCGCAGTGCCGTAATACGAGAAAAGTACGTACTTACACAGTACAGCAGTAGTACAGTAGTTGCAGCTACATGTACACCACAGCAGGAGTACACTGGCTCCACTTCGGACCGCCTCCACCTCCATACATGGAGAGAAGCACATCAAGTAAGGTTAGCTATCTGTCAGGGCCCTTGCCTATGGATCCTTGCCAATAGGTTTTACGCTATTCTGATTCTGCTGCTGCCCTGCGTGCTGCTGACGACGCTGCGGACGGTTGCGGTTTGCGTGTACACCAGCTGGTGTACACACATACCAAGGAGAGTCGCGTCGCTTCTGCTCACACACCCCGGCGTGCTTTAGCTCGCATCTCTACCTCGATTGATTGCCTGCAACGCCAGCCTCATGCACTCACACTACGGGGGCTACGCCATTGTCAGCTAGCTTCCCTGGGGTCGCCTGCCCTGCTACTGGCCCTGCGACTGCACTGGCCGGCCGCCCCGCCGCCGGTCTGCGCTGGTTCTCGTTAGAGAACGTCTCTTTTAGAATCAAAAACGAAAGAAAAAAAAAAAAGAAAGGAAGAAAGATAAAAAAAACTCCCTAAAGAGTCACTAACAGACCGTAAATAGGGCTCAGATCCCATACATAGGGGTACAACAAAAAATAATTAAAACATTTCGCGCGAAGCGCGAAAAAGAACGGGCGGAGAAAGAGACGCAGGCGCAATAGCTATGGATGGAGCCTCACAGAGAGGCCACACCACTGCTACTGCACACGCTCACACCTCACCCAACACCACCAGTCAGCTGTGTACGCAGACTGCTGCTGTTTGGCAGCGCGGGGAAGAGTGAAAGTGATGTGTGGTGTGGACAAAGCTCTCATGAATCATCATCAGCTGCTGCTGCTGCTGCTGCTGCTGTCCCTGTGTGGATGATGTGCACCACTTACGCTCGTAGCAGCGGCAACGGGCTCTTAAAATCGCCCCCGACGCCCTCTATGTGTGTGTGAAGTCGCCTTGGCCTGCAGCGTGTGTACATCTCACTGTCTGTTTTTGCGCGGGTCTGTTGTGGATGGAGAGAAGATAGATCCGCCCGGCGAAGATAGCCGCAGATTGATTGACTTGTGTGCACTTGCTTCACTCGCTTATACGCTGCTAGCAGCAGGCAACGGGCTTCACAAATCGCTCTCGATGCATCGTATGTATGATGTGTTCCTTGGGCCGCCTTGGCCTGCAGCAGTTTGTACGTCTCATTGGGTTAGGGATGCACCACTACTGTGTAGCAAGCTCAAACGATCGGCCTGCAGCAGCAGCAGCAGCAGCAGATTTGGCCTGTGTCGCCTCCTTCGCTTATTGCGGTGATGCCGACACAGCAGCCAACCGGCTCTAACAGCAGTCGAACCCTACCTCCTATTATGTGTGCCTTTGGCTGCCCTTGGTCCACAGCAGTCTCGTGTGCTGCTGTGCTGGTTGTCTCGCGTGTTGCCTACGTGTGTCATGTGCTGCTGCTGCTGTGCTACGTCTTTCGGAGGATTCCCGCTCGGCGGCGTGGCCATCGCCCAATCAGCTGTCTCTGCCCATTACATAACGTACTACATAGTCGACATGTGATTGGTGGGAGGACTGGTATCTACCCGGCATGCCCCTCTAAAACATAGATATATTTTCTTGTATTCTTCCGGTACAACATAATTTTGCCATACGTATGGGTCCTGTGCCGTAAATAGACCTCGATGGTTATCAGAAGTTGGCTGGCGCTGGTGCGGTCAACCGTTACACAGCAGTTTGCAGTGAACACATGTGCACATATACGCAGACCTCCGAGAGAGCAAGTGGTTGCCTTTTCGGGCCGTATCGATGAACCTCACGATAGATGCGGGAATCGATACAACGGCATGGACAGCAGTAAATCATCGGCATAGAGAGAGACTGCGCAGGTCTGCTGCGGTAAAGGAACGCGAACAGCGAACAGCCCTACAAGCAGACAGGAGTTGAGTGGATCGGAAGAAATTCAATACAATTTGTACCAACACTTGTTGACCTCACCTCTCGAATGTTGCCGAGGAAGCCACAAACCCTGCAGCGGCGAACGTCAGAGGAGCCACACTCTTGGAACGGAGAGTTCTGAAGACATACATCCTCGCCGTTGACTCTGTACTGCCGTGTAGATGTGATGTGATCATGCACTGCGGCGCCCACAAGCGGGGCTCCGTGAATACATCAAGTGATTTCGAGACAACCTGGGGGGGCTCCGCGCACACACACAGTGCCTCAAGCAGCAGCAAGCCCAATGCAGCCAGACAAAGGAGGCAACTCGGTGAACTTCAGTGTAAGCCCGTTCGTTGTGCTAGTGCACAGAGCGCCCGCCGGGAAAACATCCACCACCACAAGTGTACTTGATATCCCTTCGGTTTCGCTACGTGGCGGACGGAAGAGTATATGTAGTTGGTAGAGAAGGCACATTGCAGAGTTGCGCGCTTGTCTGCGCTGGGGATATAGCAGGCCATGGAAGAATCTTACGGTGCTGTGGGTCTAGCGATATTTCGCTTGGTGGCGGACTCGGGAGAAGAGGCCGAGTGCTTGAAAAGCCAAGCTATATTGCGGTGTGTTCTGCAGCGTCACCCTGTGGTTCGAGGGTTCGCCTTGTCCACACTTGCCAGGAGGCTCCGAGAGGGTGAGTGAGAGAGGCGAGGAAGCTGTGCACGTTGACGTTTGGAGGGGAGAGCTCGCGTACTTGACCCCATGGCATTCGTGTGCACTGTAGTATGTGCTGACCTCAACGTGTATCGGCAGAATGATTGTGCCGTCATAGCAGATGGTTGTACGGCATCCAATAACGGCTCTGCTGTACTTTGTATGCATACCATAACAGGTTTTGCCGTTGAACATTGAACACCCACCTTGAGTGCAACGCGGCGGGTTCCAAGCTTCCCCCGTCGATGCAGGACGTGGGCCTTGCACGTTTACTAGGATATACATTATTATCCACGCAGCATCACATGATTGGAGAAAGTACGTGAGGACTAAGCAACGAGTCCACTAGAGGCCACAACACAAGTAGGACGTGGCATCCACGGGACATGTGTACTGCTGAAGACTATAGCCTTTCATCACCCAAACCCAGAGTCTCTTCTGCAAATAGCGTGGTGTAACCTCTCCAACAGGGCCACGCATGCTGCTGTAGCAGTAATAACGGTGAATTTTGCCTCACCGCCTTCTCGATATTCGAACAGGTGCAACAGCAGGCAACCAACCCAGCCGGAGGCACAGGGCATCTGCAGGGGCCTCGGCAGAAGCGCGAGTACCTCACACGGGGATCCGCCTGGCGCTGGAGGTTCTTCTTGCCTCTTACCACCCCTCCGCTTCGCACGTCGTTTCACCTGTCGTCGACGCCCTCGGAGACAGTAACCTTGAGGTGTGGGGCCGGACTTGTTTCGCGCTTCTGTCATGTTGACGAGTACATGCCTGCTGTCTTTGCTGTACTGGTGCTTCTACGGCAGCCGTACGGTCTGTCCGTTTTGACACGTATCCGTACCCGCATCCGAGGTGGCTCAAGCACGATGGGGGCAGGGTTGAACGTCACTTCCGAAAACGTCCTTATAGCTATGTAGCGTTTCATGGATATTTGTTGTTGTCAAACGGTTGCCAAAAGCTCTTGACAGTAACGTACCTCGACCTTGCTGAAGCTGAGCGCCTCTACCTGCCGAATCCCAACGTCTCTCGCTCGTTGGTTTTCTTCGCCCTTTCATATGCCTGGGAATCTGGGGATCCTGCCCAAATCGATCTATTTGTTAGGCTCTCCTTCATACACAGGGTGGGACAAGCCCGTTGCTGCCGTGGGCCGCTCGATTGTGCTTGTTGCATGCATGCTTAGCTGGCACAAGCGCCGGGAGCAAGAGGTGGAGATGGCTGCCGACCGTGGCGGACTCCGCATGCTCCTTGGCCCTGCAAGAAATCGCAACGGAGGGAAGCAGCAGCGTGAGCGGCAGTGAGGCGGGCAAAGGCAAGGGACGTGCGCGTGGGCATGGCGCGAAATCAGCACCAACAAAGGAAATAGCCAACCGGGTGGCAGCTGGGACGGACAAAGCTGAGATGTACCAAGCAACCTTGATGGCTGACGTGTGCACGGAGCTTGCAAGGGTCGAGGTAGCGGAACCTGCGGCAGTTTCGACCAAGAAAAGTGGATTCCTCTTTGGTTCTCTGGGCACCACCCCTGATGACGTAGCCAGAATATCTTCGGCAGGGGCGGCGGCATCGTTGCCTGGACGGCATGCCGCGGATTCGTTTCGACTCAAGCTGCAGGGGTTGCGAGACGCGCTGCTGTCTAGGAGAGGAAGCGAAGGAAACGCACCGGTGGGGCAGTCGGTTCCAAGCGTTACGACCATCATCGGTGATGTCGCGCTGGAAGATCTAGATATACATCCACAAGCAGTGAAGAGAGCCTTGGAGAGAGGCCGCTGCGGTGAAGCCTTCATTCTCGCGGTGCAGGTAACCATCTATCTATTTATTTATTTTTTTGTCTTGGCCTCAAATCAGCGCTCACAGCAATAGTGCCATTTTTCTCCAACCCGTGGTCACACAGAAGGGACCCTCTCTACTCTACCCTCCTGCGGTACGTTGCCTTCGATTTATAATGCGAGAAGAGGTCAGCATTCTCTTCCCTCTGTGTACACACGAACTAGCGCTATCCACAAGGCCAGGAACGGGAGCGAGAGAAAAACTCACGTCGCAAGAAAAGCTTCCTTACGCCGGGATTCGAACCCCTGACCTGACCTGTAGAAGGTTTCGAGGATATCAACTAGACCACCGGGGCGACCTGCCCGTACTCTTTCGATTTTTGTACTGACGTTTGCAAAATATGTTGGCTTGGTTTACCCACGTGTTGCTGGGGGGTGGTGTGATAGTAGGATACGCTTCTGCCGGGGGGCACATATGATAACGGCCAACGGTGAGCAATCCGATTTTTTCTTTTCGTAGGATGCAAGCTTTTCGCCGAGTATTGTGCGACGATTTTTTTCATCTTGTGGAAGGGCAGTATCTCCTAGGACAAACCGCCTGGTGCTCCACTGCAAAATTTATTGTGTGCAATCGCTTGTGTGGTCCGAGGCGGAGGGAAAATAGTGGGAGTGAAAAACGTGACAGTGGTTGTTGTGTGCTTGCTCCTATTCGTTCTCCCAGGCGGCGCTAAAGGAACAGCTTACTCCAACCTCGACCACCGAGGCCAAAGATCAACAGTTCTCCTCCAACAGGGGCCGCCGGATTTCGGTGAATCTCAAGCTTGCCCTCGAGACATGCCTCTTCGGCAGTGGTCTCGCGGGAGGCAGGGGGCTGCTAGATGCCGTTGTGCCGGATGGTGACGAGATCGGATTCACCTCAACTTCCAGCTCCACACGAGCGAAAGGAACCACAGAGGCACGACAAGCGTGCGCTTTGATGCAAGGCCTTGTTGAGGAAGGGACTCGAATTCGTGACTTGCTATTGGTGTTGGTGGGCATGTACCAGGAGCGAGAGCGACTACCCCCGACTTCAAGCCCTGCAATTTCGATGGACTCTGGGCGGCTGGCTGGAGCACAGGTTGTTGCCACAGTTCAATCCGCGTGTGATTTCCGCCGCAGGACATTGGCCACAGTTGTCGGTGCCTTCGTCGGGTGGTTGGCGGACACTCCTTGGGTTTGGGGAGCCACAGAGGGGGTGGAAGGAGAAGACTGGGAAGGCGATTTCGAGGCCGCGGCGATTGCAGCTTTTGAAGTATTTCCTAGCCCTGGCGCCGCTTGTGCTGATGAGGGAATCTGCACTGCAGGACTGGTCGACCGAGTCCGAAGCGACGTTAGGGAATCATGCCCGTACAATCAGGATAGCTCTGGTGAAGGTCAACCAAGGAATGGGTCTGTGGGGAGTCGTGGCGTGGACCCCACGGAGGTATTAGATAGGCTTGTAGCGGGCGCCGCCATGGCCATGGGACGCGTTGATGCAGACGAAGTGGAATGGCTGGACATCTTACGGCGCGTAGCAACAGCAGGTGCGGCATCCGACGGCCTCAAAACGTACGCAATTGCTTGCGTGACGAGGTGTGCCTCCCTCGGGGGACAGGCCCCGTTCATGGTGAGCGGCAAGCGGCGTTTCTCACAAGTCGGGGGAAAGGAGCTGTGGGGATTGCTGCAGGGAGCGTGCTTGGTTCACGAGGAAAAGATGCCCGCTTCCTTGATCGTTCGGACGGCTGCGGCTGTGGTCACGGCCTCCAGGAAGACATGGTGCGCTCTCAATCTTTTGTGGCAAGTGACAGGGTCGGGAACCAGCGTCCATTGAAGTATGCTATGACGCATTTGCGGATGTGCATGTAGGTCTTGAATAGTTGCACAAGGCGAAATCGGCGCGACAGAGTGGAAACATTATTTGCGTCTACACACGCGCGATCCTTTGCATTCATGAAAACTGCTCTTTACGCCGCTCTTGATGTCCGAACCTCGGCCCGAGCAGTCAATCGAGGATGGTTTCCCCCGGACTGCTAGGCTCGAGTCCCATCCGCGTGGTGATTGACATGCTCACTGCCGCCAAGGACTGTCTCACTGCTTCGGACTTGCTGACTGGCTTGCTGGAGGTTCCAGGCGATGACGGCCCTGCGTTGGCGGCTGATGTTTTCGCAGCGTTCATTGCAGCTTCAGCGGCCGGAAACGGGCGGACAGCAGGGGGTGATAACGAAGTGGGCGATTTGCGTTCGTTGGTGAGCATGATTGCAGACTTTGAAGGTCCTTTTTATGGCACAGGCTCTGAGCAGCACTGAGCACGCGCTTGTTTGGTGTGGGGCAAACGTATGCAAGCTTCTCTCAACCCCCAGCTTGTTTTCACTAGATTAAACGACTATGATTGTGTTAAAGTTGAGCTCGCACTATGCGTTGTTTGCGTTCACATAGGCTGCACCTAAAAACTAGCTGTTCTTCTGTGAGCTACAACTTTGTGGAGCTGGTATGTCACGTCAAGTAGCCACCACCTCTCGTGTATCTCAGTTTCCCTACAGCATGCACTTTTCGAAGTGTTCCTTACAGGTGCGTTCTTGCAGTCCTGCCTCTGTTGCCATCGTAAAATAGTGCAGTACTAAGACTGCCGCATCCCCTTGTGACATTCCACACCTCCCTCGTGCCCTCTGCAGTCGATGTCATGGCTCCACGGGGCTCTTGCGACGGCTGTCCTGCCGGTGCGCACGCCTGCGGGCTCGACGGTGGAACTGAACAGGGTCATGTCCGCCACTGCTTTGACGCGGGTGCTGATTCAGAGAGTACCGTTCGAGGCGAAACCCGTGCTACTCGCCGTGGAAGAGGCGGCGGAGCTTGCTACGGCTGGTAGGGGTGTAGGGGGCTGTACCCGACGCTCCGGGAAGAGCAGACGCGTTTCCGGGAGGGGAGGGGGAGAAAACTTGGATGGGGACGCGGCATCTCCTTTGGCATCCTTGTTGAAGTTGGCTGGCGCGGCGAAGCAAAGCCGTCTTCTCCCGCTTCCGGTTCCTTCAACGGTTTCTCCGCCACGCTCGGCGGGGCTCAAGTGCGGCGAGGCGTCGGGTGCGGGAGCCGTGGGAGCAGGTGACGACGAAGAGTCACCAGCGAAGGATAGAGATGGATGGCAGGCGGATGCGTCGGCGGCATTCGTGACGGCGGGATTACTCTTAGACGCCTTTGTTCGATCACCTACAGCGACTAGGCGATCTATCCGAGAAGCTATGCAACAGGGGTAAGCGACAGCGGGAAGCGATAGCGGTACCGTGATTGGAAGCCGGGGTTACGTTGTGTGAGTCGCTGATCCGGATTCCTAGCATGTTCTGAAGCATGGTACACGCGTCGGTTGGGCATTGTTATTTCCCCCCCGCATTGCAGCTTCCGTGTGCATTTCGATGAGGGAATTCCAAATAGTTGAGAAGCCTGCAGGCAAAAGCTGAGGTAACGTGGAAAATCATGTCGCTCCTGCGTACGTGAACACGAAAGCATTCGTCGCATCATGGTACTGGTCGTATTTCTCCGAGGACTCCTGATTTGTTCAGTATTTACCAATAACGTTGTCCCTCGACACACCTTATTTTCCGGCCCCTGCTACACTCTGCAGTGGTTGTGGCAACGAGCTCCATGTCGTCCAGCGTGTTCTAAGAACAGCACTTTGTACCGCACCCGCTTCCCCCGGGCAACCTCTCGGAGGAATACCAACAACGCTGCCAGCGGGATCGGGTGATCGCAAGGTTGCTGCCTGTCTCCTCGTCGGATTCCTGGTTGAGAGCGGAGTGCCCGGTTGGGATGAGACGAAGGCAGCGATGACCCCTCCACCGCCTCAGCTACTGGTAGCAGCTGAGGAGTCTGTTCGTACGGAGGGCGAGTCGCACGTGTGGCACTCTTATCATTCCAGGTGAAGAGCACAAACGCGTGGACCGTCGCTGAATCGGAGTGATTGTCGTTGGTTGATCATGTGGAAGCAATAGCTGTAGCAGCTGTAGCAGCGATGCTGCTCTCTTGCATCCGGTGCTGCTGCTGCACAAGCTCCTGTGGGAAGTCCGAGTCCCCGCCATTCCCGGCGTTTGCTGCGTATGTGTCTTGTCCAGGCAACAGCTTACGGCGCTGCGGCTAGAAGTAATGCTCCAGTCCCTCCTGTGCGATGTGGGCGGTTCCCGTTTAATTGGCGACATGGATGTCGAGAAATCGTTTCCAGATGTGTTCCGGACGGCGCGAACTCTCGCGCGAGCGATCGCACACCATGCATCCGCGCTCGTCACCAGACCAAACCAAGGACAACAAGCTTGGCGGACCAACGACTACCACCGCTTCCAATCCGGCGGCGGCGGTTTCGAGGGTGTAGACCCGCATTGGCCTAGTATTGTCGGGGGTAGTTGTTCAAGGGGTGGCGAAGGGGCAGGCAACAGGCAACTGAAGTTACCGAGGCGAGCTCTTGCTGGACGATTGCAGCATTCGCCAGCGGCTGCAGCGTTGACGTCTTGGGTGTCGAGCATCGTAAAGACAGTGAGGCAGTTCAGGCGGTGGCTTCCGTGGCAGCCTTTAGCGGACGAGCTCAGAGAGTTGGTGTTGCGGAATGCTCGGCGAAAGCCTGTGCGACAGCTGGTATCTGGCGGAGAAAGGAATGAGACCCAAGGAAGGACTCTGGCAGCTGAGGCAGCTGTGTTTGCTGTCAGCGAACTGTTACTTGCTTGGGATGAAGGTGGAGAGGTGAGAACGGACGAGGTATTCTTAATTTGCCGTTTTGCTGAAGCTGCAAAATGCTTAAGGTTTCAAATATCGAAGTGCAGGGAGATAAACGTGATTAACCCCCCGTCTGTTGAGGACACGTGCTTTCTTGTTCGTCCCGGTTGTATTTCGCTGTGGGACATCGACAGCAATATTTCTCTCTGACCAGACCCACAACTTTCTTTCTTGACGCTGACTTACGGGCAGGAAGTTGTCCCGGCTGTGTTCCAGTCAGTTCTCTGCTCCAAGGCGCTTAACATAGCTGTGGCTCCGGTTGCCTCAGATGCACCCCCACCAATCTGGCTAGAGCTGCTTCGGTGCCTAGTCGACGAGGGGCAATGTGACATGTCCGGTTGGATGTCTTCATGCCTTGACGGAAGCGCTCAGCAGGATCCCCTCGCGATGGCCTCTGCAGCCGCGGTCTGGATCGGAGGGGATGGGCCGAGAGCCGGTCAGCGGAGCAGGCGCGGAACCCACGAGGCGTGGGTGCACTGGTATGGGGCGAAGCTCGGGTCTCTAATCCCGACGGGCGACGCGGACTTCGGAGATTGGCTTATTCTTTCCAGTGCTACCGGCGCTAGCGCCAGTGGTGGGGTACAGGTGCGGGTCGAAGGGTTGGCGCGCACAATCCAGCCTGACGAGTGGGAACACTGGGGGAGGTCCCCGCTTCAGGCCGCGTGGAACTTTCCTGGGACATGGGCGGCAGTAAGCCAGAGATCTGAAAGCCAAAGTTCAGAGGGAGCGCCGCCCGCCATCTTGCTCCCTCCTTTCGCCTCGTGGTTGAGAGTGGTTTTGAGAGGTGGGTCAACCTGCCCGAAACATCTGCTTGAGGCATACCTGCGAAGGATGGCTCTCGAGGTGTACCTCCCATGCCAATTCGGTAGAGCTTCAAACGAGATGGCCCGACAGTGGCTGGCCGTGCTCATCGAGGCTGAAGCTACGGCGGAGGGGAGTGGAAGGAAACGCGCCAAGATGGCGGCCGATGCCGTCGTGTGTGACTGGGGGTCAGTGACAGCCGATCCTTCTTCAGGAAGCGCGGTCGGAATGGTCTCGGCGTGCCATCTCGTAGTGAAGGCATTTTTTCGCGAGGAGCTTCTGCGTTTCGGAAGTGGGGAAGCGCCGGCGGCACCAAACGGAGGGCCGATGTCCTGGCTTTGGCCGCTTGAGGCCGTGGTTGCGGCGTGCGGCAACAACGGCTCCTTCGGTAGGGGTTCGCTCGCCCGTCGCCGTCGCGGCAGCCTGGGACCAGAAGGAATTGACAGCGACGCCTCCTCGAGGATTACGTTGGACGGCCCACCCTCAGCTCTCGCCCGCGCACTGTCGACAGTACCACACGATCTTCTGTGCGGATCCCGCCGGTTCGGCATGGGTGGACAGCCCCCGCCTGCCCTTGCGACGCTGCGCGCGTTCGCGACCCGAGTGGTGGACCTCACTGCGCGCGCGTTGGCAACCCCACCATGTAGACACTGGTCCGTGGCCCGGCAGCTTCTTCTTGGGTTGGGACTGCTCTACCACGCCTTGGCAAAGCCGGTATCGGCGAGAGGCGGCAAGTTACAGAAATCGTTCGGTGCACCATCCCGAGCGGGGGATGTTGAATTGGACTCCGCCGCTCAAGAAGCTGCCCAAGCGGTAGCCCTCTCTGCGATTGAAGGCCTTGTGAGAATTTCGCTAGGATTGGGCAACCTCGGGGTAGGAGAGAGGGACAGTGGTGAGGGCGGGAATCGGGGTTCTGCGGCAGCGTCCAAGTCTGGAAACCCGCTTCTCACGTCGGCTTGCCTTGCGCTACGGCCGCTAGAGACGGGTGGCTGCGCGGGCGCGGATGATTTCGCGCGGGCTCTTATGGGTGCGGGAGCTTGGCGGGCTGAGACGGCGTTCTTTGGAGAACGGAGTGCAGCGCAGGCCTCTTCTTCGGTGAAAGCCCCTTCGTTGGATAACACGGCCCCTGCGTTAGAACAGACGGCTTCGTTGGCACTGTCATTGCCGCCACCGCCTCCACCGCTATCGCCTCAAGCCGGTCCTGAGCAGGGCCACCGCCTTTCTTCGCCGGGGGCAACGCCGGCGGTAGAACCTCATCACTCGGTCGGTGGCGATCAAGCCAGTGGACAGTCGACCGCGGACTGTTGCATTTCTCTCGCCCAAGAACTGGTGGGCGGGGCGCAGCAGTGCAGTTCAGGGCGGGGCGAGCGTGAGCAAGTTGTCGGGTCACCACGTGCACCGTCGTGGGATATGCCATCCCGCCAAAAGAAAAAGGCCCGCTTGAGCACCAATGCAATGGAAGGGAAATCGCCACCACCAAGCTCTCCTCGACGGGTGTTGCCCATGCGTTCGTCCAAGCAGCAACACCACCATGAAGGGAGCGAGAGTTAGCGATGTACTACACGTGGTTGAAATGGACGAGCCGGTGGATTTACATGGCGTGCAGTCGGTGCTGCGCGAGGTTACAGAAACGCCCGGAGTACGAATACAGTTTACGATGAAGTGGAACGATTTCCACCAGTATGGATTATCTTAGAGATTCGTGGTACACTGTAGGTGTATCGAAACGGTTTTGAATGTGAAGACAACAACGAGTTCATGGTTGGTTGAGGACAGGTGTTCCCTCTGTGTAATATGCTCCCGCGAAGGTGTGAAAGGTACTACAAGCAGACGTAAGGTCATGCGCAAAGGCAGGGATATTGCCGTGCGTACATAGCGTGGTGAACGAGCGATGAGTGGGCGATCCGCTGAGGCTTGATGGCCGAAAGGATGTGGATAACACGCCGCAGGTTTCGATAAGTTTTCGTGATAAGCCGGGCATATTCCGAAGCCACCCGCGATTTTCCTCTCGACTGCCTGCCAACCAGTCTTTAGTTCGCCGTACTTGGACATTGCATGAGGACATCGAAAGAATATTGGCCAATCTCTACACTCGCGCCATCCAGGGAGTCCATCTTACTTGCCACGTTGACTAGCGGTAAATTCCTCCGGCCTCTCGTGAGTTGACGTATGGGTTCATGAGTTTCGAATAGGCGGCACATGGGCAAACCTGCAAATGTGCACTCCGCGGTGGCCACCACGCTCGCCACTTACTTCGCTGGACGCGACCCGAAAACGACCCTTAGAACCCGCGGCACGTGTGGCGAGAAATTTTTGTGTTGAAAAAACGGTGAGGACGGAAAGTCGAAGTATTTAGTTCTTGACCGCCGCTTTAAATTTCATACGCCCTCTTCTTCGAGTGCTCTTCGCCCGTGAGATGCTCTGTACTTGAAGTTCGTTTGTCATTTCGAAACACATGGGATAACGTATGTCTGACCCCATATGCGATCATGTGACGCTGATGGATACCGACGACAATGGGACTGCTCCGTGAGACAGGTTGAAACGTCGAAACCTTTGGTACGATCGATGAGTTGCCATGGCACTACTCTGTTGTAGACGGAGATTAGGAAACCATTTATCTCAAGAGAATCGCGTCCTGCATACACACAGCTTATACATGTGCCTCTTCAATTCAAATGCAAAGAACTACTTGTCGCAACACAAGATGTTCCACGCAGCACGCCTGTTGCCCGTGGAAGAGCCGAGGAGGTGGAAACATTAAATATATATTCTAAAAACCATGAAGTACAACACTGCTACCCAAACACCACGTTGAAAGCATTCCCACGATACATTCACAGGCTTCTCGTACATACACCGTGGTCCATCCCTCAAGCCAACACTATGGGTAACCAATGTACGCCACGGAGAGCGCGCAGAAATCGAACCTCACCATCCTTCATCGGAGCTATTCCATATGCATTGAATGGAACTTCAAAATCGACCACCAAGGCATGAAATATTCTGCCCTCGTCCAGTCCCAAATAAATACTTCGGAGTACGAAGTATACAGCATTGATTTGCCTTGGCCGCCATCGTCAACCGCGTGCAGTTTAGCCGCGAAATCGTCTCGATATCTGTAACCAACATCTTGCATTCCGCTCCAGGTGTTGGCTGTCGTCAGATGTTGGCTGTCGTCAGGTGTTGGCTGTCGGAGCCCCCCCCTCTCGTTGCAAGAGGAGGTCGATCCCCTTGTCCGTCCACTTGAGCTCTTCCTGTTCTGCTGCCTCGATCGACTCGCCCAAGTCCACTTCCCCGTCGTCCACTACCACGTCATGCCCTTCCGGCAAGTCAATTTCTGTACATGCACAGGCCGAGGAACAGAGCATGCGCAGGAAGGCTTCAGAGCAGGCTGCGGTAGAGTTGTTGACGACGGTTGAGAGCATGAAGTCAAAGACGGCGGACCAACGAGAGCAATACTGCAGGTGACTTTGGTCCGGTGTGACATTTAAACAAAGTGACGACCAACCGAAGCTCGTTTCGAGCGGCAAGGCCATGAGAAAGTAGCTTACTGCAAAACATCGCAGAGCAGTTGGCGCTCGTCCATACAGGAAACAGAGACGTCATTCGTGGGCCCGTCAACTTCACGAGTGGCGCAGTGTGTCGAGCAGGACACAGCCCAAATGAACGAGGCAAAAATCTTAGGGGGGACCGATGATGACGATAGCATCACTGCTGTGCGTAGTGCGGCGACGCTGCTGCGAAACCCCGCCGAGGGCTATGCCAGGGAAGGCGACAGAGTGGTATTTGCCCAGGCAGCCTGCAAAACTCCGGTGAAGTTTTCCGATCTAATCGTGGAATGGAAAAGCCACGCCCCCCCCGTCTGCTGGTCACCTTCCTGGACGACCTCGGTCACCGATTCAGATTGAGGAGCAAAATAAACGAGAAGGGGCAGGTTAGCCGCAACACCCTCATATCGGGAGTATCGACATCCTGTATTCTTGAAGATTCTCGCCCGAAAACCCGACCCTTCTCTTTGACTTTCCTGGCCCTTTCGGAGGACGACCATCACAAAAGCTTTTTCTTACCACGTGTTGAACAGAAACGGCGCCAACACTGATGCCCTGCATGGTCAACACGTGGTACAAAAACGCTAGTGTGATGGTAGTCCTCCGGAAGAGACAGATAATTCGAACAGAAGGGTGGGACTATAGGAGTAGAACCTTCAAGCACACCCAGACCGACTGGCAGGCAACCTCGGCACAGTACCAATAACGACATGTTGGATCGGGTTGCTCTGTCGGAGGCGCAAGTGGACTGTGGTTTCGAAAACCTTAACCTCGACGTGTTGAGAAAATGGGGAAAGGGCGTTCACGTCGATTTAATGGCGGCCTGGCGTACTTCGCGCTGTTGGGGGCCGTGACAAGGCCCCCGTCCGACCGTCAGAGACTTTCTTCTTAAGTTCGGGAACGACCACTCACGGGTTTAGGACATGTTGGGCAGGTTCCGGTTTCAGGTTTTGACATGCGCGCTCAAAAGACGTACTTCCAAGTAGAACATAGCTGATGCCGACTTTGGCACGCGCGTGGCGAAAGGAAAATAATCCACGATGTCCCAAGCAAGATCATGGTGGGCGGTGAGGGTTATCAGGTCGGCCTTGAAGGTAATTCGAGCTATCTCGGTGTGGTGCAACTCGGGGCGAAAATATCGCCAGGAAAAATACAATACCTTGACGGGCTGGAACAAAAAAAACTTGCACGTGGGCGTTAAAGGTGGGAGGCAACGCGCGGTGATAGTATGTAGGGTATCAGGAGAGACACACGTGGTTCAGCACAAGGTCAACAGACAGTACTCTAGGGGGTGCCAAACACCGGTCCACGGCGCCGCCCACGCAAACTCGAATAGAATAGTGCGTTTTGACGTTTTGACGTTTCGACCGTGTGCAACAGCTCGTGTGTCTCTCCTGATCCCCTACTATCACCGCGGGCTGCGGTTCAAAACACAATACTCTACATGAAGTTTGCACGGCTGGTGCCGTGGATCGGTGATTGGAACCTCCTCCAGCACGCGCTCGTCACGTCGAGTACGTGCTCGAGGAGGTACCAACCACCAATCCACGGCACCGCCCACGCAAACTACATGTACTGCTGCAGAATATTATGTTTTGGCTTTTCGATCTTTTACCAGAAGCTCGTGTGTCTCTCCTGGTCCCCCACTATCACCGCGCGCTGCACAAGGTCAAGACACAACACTCTGCACGAAGTGTGCGTGAGCGGTGCCGTCCACCTTTGATGTACACGGAGAGCTTGCTTCGCCCGTCCAGGTATCTACCCTATAATTTCTGGTATGCTTTCGTCCCGAGTTGCATCACCCAAACATAGTTCGACTTAATATCACGACCGATCTGAAGTCACTGAACGCCTACCGTGCTCTTCCTCTGGAGGTCTTGGATGATCTTTTCCGCCACGCGCATATCGAAATCTGCAGGATTTACGTTTGTTCACCGTAGGTCGCGTAATGTACCACATCGACTTGCAGATGAAAACAAAACCGCGCCTGCTGGCATCATGGAACACACTTGTGAACACTCCCCAAGGTAAAACAACCTCCTCGGCTCTACCGACTTCATTTCTGCTATTTGTCACGTGCGTGTATCGATAATACTTTACGTTACTCGTACCATATGGGACACATTTGTACACGTCATCTCCGATCTCTGATACACCCTGTGTCGCCCTGGTTTCGCCTCGTTTGCTGCGATGAACAACACGTTGCCTTGCGAAGATAGAACGCTGCGCACTCTGCGCAAAACTTGTGATGAATCAACGCGACAAACATCGTAGGTGCTGCCTGTCTGACGCTAGGGTAGCCGAGGGTGGTTCTGCCGGTCACCGTTGTAGTGTTCACATTTTTATCAGGCTCACCCCTCCCAAACATAGAGGTCTAAGATAAACAACTAAAAAAATCGCGCGAAGTGCGACAAGAAGGGGTAGAGAGAGACAAGAAACCAAGCGTCGATAGATGTGGGGATGGAGCCTACACCATCACAGAGGCACCACTGCACACGCTTACACCTCACCCGACACCACCACTCAGTCAGACGTCTGCTATCTAGCAGCCCGGGGATGAATGAGAGCGTCGTTTGGTGTGGACAAGCTCTGATCATATCATCATCATTAGCTGCTGCTGCTGCTGCTGCTGCTGCTGCTTCGGCTGTACATGGATGTACACTTGCTTCCCTCGTTTACGCTGCTAGCAGCGGGCAACGAGCTCTTAAAACCGCTCCCGACGCCTTATATGATGTGTGTATTTGGCCGCCGTTGCCTACAGCAGTGTGTACATCTCGTTGTCTCTGGGATGGGAATCTCCAAAGGTCGGCCTGCACATGAAGACAGACCGCAGATTGACTTGTGCCGTCCCTCGCTTGTTTGTGCTGCCGACAGTAGGCAACGGACTCTAAGAGTCGCACCCGACGCCTCCCATGATGTGTGTCTTTGGCTGCCTTGGCCTAAAGCATTCTCGCGTGGGCTGTGCTCGTTGTCTCGTATGTTGTCTACGTGTGCTGCTGCTGTGCTACGTCTTTCAAGAAAAGGATTTCGGGGGTTCTCCCCGAGCGTCGTGCCCATCGCCCAATCATCTGCTTCCGTCTTACAGAATGCCGTACGAAGTCGAGGTGTGATTGGTGGGAGACGGGTATCTACCCGGCTCTACCCCTCATTGTTGGAGTTCTTCCGTGTCTTACAAAATAGAGTTGTGGCCAAAATCGGGTACACCTGGTCCAACAACGGCCATAATCGAGTACCCCTACAAGATGCTGCTGGGAGCGACCGCATGACACCGTCTGACGGGCGGACGCCAGCCCCTACCCGACCTTGATTGCAAATGATCGAGAAGAGCTAGATGAATAGCTCACTCATGAGATGCGACACACACGAGACGCATCTAAGAAATAGACATCTTGATGCTCTCTGCGAGCAGCCGGCGGTGTGTGGTCCGACCCATGATTATGTGATGGGTAGGGAAAAGGAAAATCGGGTACCCCTCCAGGGGGTGAGCAGCCAAGATCGGGTGCACCGGTGGAAAGACAGTCAAGGTCGGGTAGGGGTGGGCGTCGGCCAATCAGATTGTGTCATGCGTTCGCTCCCTTGTACTGTAGGGGTACCCGATTGTGGCCGTGGTTGGACCGGGTGTACCCGATTAGACCACAGCTCTACAAAATACTGCTCTTCGCAGCAGTCTACGCAGTAAAAATTGATTAAGCAAACATATGGGATAAAGTATTCAATCCGTGCTTTAGGGTTAGGGTTAGGGATAGGGATAGGGCCTGCGTGCCCCCTCCCTATTATTTTACTCTTCAAATCCTGCGTAGGCGGTCCTCTTCGTATAGGTCCGCTGCCCACCGGAGGTGACACAAGATACCACACCCCCTGGACCGATTTTCACAGCTCGACTACTCCACGACGACGATCATGTCAAAATCAAGAGAGTTTTGTCTTCGGAAAGATCTCGACGAGGCGGTTCCAACGCCGCCGTTTCGGCACCGCCGCTCTTGTAGCTGTGGAGTACATACACTGTAGTACAGGGACTTTGAAAACTAGTCCAGGGGGTGTGGTATCTTGTGTCACCTACGGTCGTCCCGGTGGCAGCTCAGTCAGAGAATGTTGATTGTAGCGGTGTCACGATATCCTGTGGTCGCTACGCGGGGCTTGATGTTGCTACGTAGGCAGGGGCTCGCTACACCGGGGGGCGCACTAACGTAGGAATACAGCCTAACTGATCTCCGACAGCAGCAGTTCTCACCATCATCTGAGAGATTTGCTGTTGTCCATGCCTTCGTCGGTAATATCCAAGAAACCCGCGTACAAAGACACCGCGCCGAAATCGCTGTCCTGCATGCGGGCAGCAATATTGGAAAGGACGAGCCACACCAGTAATAGGAGAAGAGGCAACGTTGCGCAGCAGCAGTTGTCGTCAATTGGTTGGGAGTGCTGCGTGGGGGGGGGGGGGGCGGAGGCAGAAGACGGAGGCAGAAGAGACAACCAAGAGAGGACGGGGGGTTGGTTCAAAAACTCAATACCGCTTTCTGGTTTCGACGTGTTCTCTAGGCTTACCGACATGTTGTTGCCCCTCTCTCTGTCTGCCAAATCGCCTACAAGAGCACGGTGCAGTAAATGAAGGTGTAGCTCAGTGCTGGATGCAATGCCAATGATGTGCCACCACCAGGAAATGAAAAAAAAAGGCCGGCCAAGTGCGGCAGACGAAAATCCTCCGAACTGAGCGGAGATTGTACCGACATCTACGATCGTACAGTAGTAGACTCGACCGTAGATTCCTCGGCTAGAGCAGACAGCGGCCCACCGCATCAGGCCAGCCTGCCGTCACGTCATCGCCCTCCCCTCCCTCAACCCGCCAACCTCGCAGGCCAATAACCAAGAGGTCTACACCGACACCATGAGGGCGAGTTCGGCCTACCCCCAGGTGTCCAACAGGCAGTACGTGAAGTTCGTGGCGATCGTAGTTTGTGTCTGTTTTCTCTTTGCCTTCTTCGCGGACAGGCCCACCCTAAACAATGAGGGTGAGCCCGCCCTGCCGGGTACGGACATCAATCTGCGCGGAGGGCAAGATGGGTGAGACAGCGGCCGTTGTCGGCGCTCGTGTGCCTGCTCTGACTTGTTTTGCGGCAGGTGTGCGTGTATCGTGTATCGTCCGTCAGCAGCGGCTGCTCCTGCCCGCCTGTCTGCACGTAGGAATTTGTTCTCTTTCTCGTATCCATCTCACGCCATCGAGGAATGGATTTTGTCTAAGAGCAGGGCGCTTTACCCGTTGGCTAACGCCAGAGTATGGGGGCGGTGTTGCCGCAGGAACGAAGTCCATGCATTCACAGTAGTGGTCCCAGCTCGCTGGGTCAGTTATCTCGGAGGAGGCGTCGAGCTTCTTGCACTTACACTCCTCCTATGCATATTCGTACAGAGAAAGACTACCCGCTCCTCCTGTGATTGCGTATCTCCTTTGTCACGTGCACAAGCCATCGCCGTACACTGCTGTTGTACCGCTTGTAGCAAAGCTTTCCGTTCAAGCCAAAAACACGCCCTGCGTTGCCGCCGCTGATTTAGAGAAAGAGAGAGGCAATCGCATCTTAGGTTCCCTGCTCCTGCACCTACAGCGCTACCGTCTTTCACACGAAGACTCGACCCTGGACCACGTTTCTATTTCCCCGCTCCAGTTCGTGAGCAGCAAGCAATGACACTTGGTATCCGTTCATCTTGTTCATTGTGTGCTTATATGTGTGAATATCTGAATACCAAGCGTGTCGCGTGCACTGCTGGACCCAAAAAGCCCTTGGGGGAAGCAATGTCCAGATTTTCCCAAGCACCCGTCACACGAAAAGGACCCCGTTTTTTTTTTTCAGAGAGAGCTCGCAAAGTATGATGCCATTTGTCCGACCATCGATCTCGATTGATGTTATAACATGGAATGATCGGTAATAAAAACACACACAGAAAGACTACCCATTCGAGATGTTTGAGTTTGGAAAATGGTTGAGTTTGAACACACCCATTGAAGCGGCGGATCTGGACGTTTGTGGCCATGCGGTCGCAGAGATCTGCCCGATGTTCTCGTTGTAATGTTCACGATTGACGCAAGATATCCAGACACCGCCTTGTTCCTTACCAGCTGTACCAAATCACTGTTGTCGTTTCGTGGTCATGCTTCTCGCAGGGCCTGAAACGTGCTACATATCCGTGAGACTATTCCCTAGGACATAGGTTGAGTTATTCCATTATTTCTTGGGCAAGTGATTTTTAAGGTTGAGTTGGCCAAATATTCAAGCAAGAATGACATGTGCAATATAGACTGCCAGCTAGCTAGACGTGCGAGACTACATCAGCCTCTGGCTCGATCTTGTGTATTGGTGCTCTTCATCGTTTCACGGTCACTCGCTGTAGACTGTCCGTTGTCCCTACAGACATCGCGTGTACGCCCCTCTCTCGTGGACTCATCTCTAATCTCTACCCAGCGCTCTTCCTGCTGCTGCAAGCGGAGGCTCGGCGAAGCTCAGCGACCTGATCGCGGTGGGTCTGGGGCTTACGGAACTGGCTTCGCAGGTGAGAGAGAGAGCACTCTGTTCTAGACATATTTCGCATGTTTTTAATGGACCAACGCGCTCACCGTACGACGGATTGTAACTTGGCTACATGTTTTAGCTATGGCCTATGCTGCATACTCTTAAGACATTTTTCATTTTACATTTTTGCCCGGGTTGCAGCAGCTAGTCCTCTATCGGCGCACCACAGGCCAGCATTATTTTTCACTTGGATTTAGATTGGAGAGCTTCCGCTCTCGCAACTTCACGGCCTTTTGCAGCACTTCGACGGTCCGCCCTTCCGTTTTTGTGTTTTGCTGACTGTCTGTCCCTTCGCACCCCAAGAGGAAATCATTTGAATTTGATGTGCGTTCGATTGTCCGCTTTGACCAGTCAGCCGCTCGGAGCTGTGACCGTTCTGCTTTCCTCGGCCTCCGCGCCGTGGTCCCGCTGCTTTCGCTTGCATTAGCACACAGTACTCTTTCTTTTGTTTGCACGCATCGATCCAGCCTCAGCACAGCATTAGTCAGGGCTGGTCCCAACAGAACCAGAATTGTGCTCCCAGACTTCCCACCTCCCACCGAGACCAAGAACCCAACGAGATCCACAGAAGTCCCTCCCAGTTTCAAAATGGGTGAAGTTTGGGTTTGACAAGACCACGTTTGTCTTGTGTTTCACCTGAAATTTCCAGCAAGCTGAGCTCTGGGTCACAACACCCGAACTACCATTTCAAATTGTACTACAGCAGTGCACAGCAGTTGTACATGAAAAAACATTATATGCATACGGCTCCATCTTACCTGGGGGTAACAGCAGTACATGGTTGTCCGCAACCCAGAGTTTCCGAAAACAACCAATAGTCGATTTACTGGAGGTAACATATCAATTACAGCAGTCTTCCGCGAGCGCAAGACACGGCTCCATGGAATTCGTCCATTGTGTAGAGATTGAACTCCGCAATAGTCCGTGCGCGTCAAGATACACGCTCCATATGTATAATCAAATCGATGTGTGCGCACACACAGCAACATTCGACTACGAATGTGTTTTCTTTGTCTCTCTCCCTTTTTCTCGCTGTCTCTCTCCCACCCTCTCTCTCTCTTTCTCTTTCTCTCCACCCTCTCTCTCTCTCTCTCTCTCTCTCTCTCTCTCTCTCTCTCTCTCTCTCTCTCTCTCTCTCTCTCTCTCTCTCTCTCTCTCTCTCTCTCTCCATCTATCTATCTCTCCATCTATCTATCTCTCCATCTATTGCTAGTAGCGTCGGTCGTCAACCATGAAGATTGTCTTTCGGTTCGAGTTCAGCGAAGTAGACGCGTTCTTTCTTTCTATGTTTTGCTGCTTCTGTTTCAGTTCACCCATCGGTGAAAGCCATGGCTACATCGCTCCCTTAGTCTCGGTCAGACAGCCAGTGGGTGCATTGTCTTTCGGTTTCTCTCCGAGATTAACGCGCCCGCGTTGTGTTTTTCTGCAGTCTGTCTTAGTTCACGCGACAAACTACTGTCGTCTCGTGTGCATCGGTGAAATGCGGCGACTTACGTGGAATGGATCGGGCACTTGCCAATTCCCAGTACCGAACACCATCGTCGGCAAAGACGAAAAGACCCGTCACACATGCATACCACGCCCACGTCACAAGCACACCATCAATCATTTTTTTTTGCCCGATCAAAACTCGAAATAAGTCCAGTTTCCAGCCGGTTTCCCTCCACCCACTGCTGTACAGACTTCAACCCACTCTGTGGTTGTATCTCGAACGGGTATTGTAGTATTTCCTGTGTGTTTCATGTATCTTGGAATCGCTTTTCTTAAAAGCGTGGAGCCGGAAGCAGCCGAAGCCCCTTCTAAATGCTGGATCCTTGTTCCTCTCTCTGCTGTGTCTGTTGGTTTGATCATGATGTCGATGATGGCCACCCTGCGTGACGTGCACAGGAAATCAAAGACGTCAAGGCCGCAGGAGCGGAAGAGCTGAGGGTCAAGGGTCTCACGAAGGAAGGAGTGGAAGAGCCGGTCACGGTGGCTGACACCAACTCCAACAGCGTAAGTTTGCTGATGGACCGAGCTTCGCGAGCTTCAAGCGTACTGTACTGTACTGACCCTGCAATGTTGATGCCAGACACCAACTCCAACAGCGTAAGACCGGTTTGCATTGATGGCTGATAAAACGAAGACTGCTGTACTGACTGTGCAATGTTGATGACGCCCGGGCTGAATTTGTTGGGACAGAGCTCACTAAGGGCAAATGATGGTTTGTGGCAGCTCCAACAATTGCTGATAAACCCTGTTTTCGAAATCTTCGAGACTACTAAACTGACAGTGCAGTGTTGATGCCATCCGGGCTGCAATACTTTGGCACAGAGCCGGTCAAAAGGGCAGGTGATGGCTTATGCCGGCTCCAACTCTGTTGAACTCCAGTCCAAAGATGAAGACGTCCCTAGCACAGACTTGGGTGCTTGCTGAGCATGTTTGGGGCGCCTCGGACGTGCCGAGTTCTGTTGAAGTGTGGCACTTGACGTCATGTGGTCGTCCGTGTGCACACACACACACCTTACGTGCGTTTCTTCTTCTGAAGTCGTGTCGGTCTTGCCAGCTACAGCAGTATCCTTGAATCATCGTCTTGTTTAATCATGCACAGGTGTTCGTGAACGGGTACAGACACTTCTTTCCCGGTGTCCAGATGCTCTCTGAAGAGACTGAGCCCGAGAAGGCTGACACCAAGCTTTACAACCCAGCTCTCCCCGCAGGACTCAGGGTGAGGATGGGCAGGCGGCCGTAGCACGTAGCCACGTATCTACACGTTTTGGCATTGTCGATCCCTTGTCATGCGTCTCGTGTCCCCGGCGCCTGCGATTGCTGCGACGCCGGCGTCGCGATCTCTCTGTATTCGTTCGTGTAGCATGGACCTACTACTGCTGCTGCTACTGCTGCTGCTGCTGCTTCTGCTTCTGCTGCTGCCTCGGCGTACCATGGTGCTGTGTTCGTGTGTTGGAATGCCAATTTGCTTGTACGTTGTGGTGCCATGTCTCTTACTTGATATAAGGCCTTTCCTCACCCTGCCCCCAACTGTTCCTAACCGTGCCGCAGCTGGAGTCGAACCCCAGCCTGGATCTGTCGGAGGTTCTGGTCATCGTAGATCCTCTAGACGCCACCAAGGTACATATCTGCGGTATCTACGATTTTTGAGGCGATATCGCTGCGCCGTCGATGCCACGCTTTAGTACAACGTGTGGTGTGTGTTTGCATGGTGCTCCCCCTCGAATCGCATCGTAGGCGCGGCAGTTACCATCAGCTCCGTGTGTGCCCCGAAGGTAACGTACGTTTTTGCGTATCATGATTTTCTTTGTACTCTAATTTTGTCGACGAGGCCGTCGCATCAAATAGGACGTCGATTTTGACGTGCCCGAGCGGGGTGATTGGTGGAGGGCGCACGGGACGAGGTTTGCCGATCATGGTTGTTGTAATTGTGGTGGTGGTGTTGGTGGTGGGAGTGAGAGTTGGGACAATTATTTTGGCGATGATACTAGACACCGGCACACTTAAGCTAGCTGACTACTGATGTCGGTGCCTGCGTGTTGTAATTGGTAATGCGGTATCTCGCCCCCCAACAGGGTGTTGCCGAAATCCTCCTGGAGTTCTGTGTCATCACGCTGGCGCCCGAAGTACCCAATGGACGGGCAGTAACTTGAAGCGTTGGCAAGGAGTTTGAGAGCAGCACAGAAGAAAAAACTTTTTGAATGTTGGCAACGCTCATGAAGAGCGATGATGCTGATCACGAGCAATGGTGGCAGGCGTTGGCTGACTGACGGTGTCATTGTTGCTGTTGTTGCCGCTTGACAGGAATTCGGCGAGGACCTGTTGGAGTATGTCACGACGATGGTGTGCGTCGTGTACCAGGGAGAACCTATCGCAGGAATCATCAACCAGGTACTAGGCGCAGCACAGCTATATTGTACCATTAAGTTGCTCGTTGCACCGATTCTGTTGGTCCTTGTCGGTGTTGTTGACAGTGGCGTGGAAACAACAGCTGTTGTTGCCGCTCATGCTGAAGTGGTCGTCGGTGCTGCTGGTGGTATATTCGTGTGCGTATGTACTGGTCACGCTGTGTCGCTGCTTTGATAGGCTTTGGCTCACACACGTGTTGTGGTTTAGTTTGGTTCCCCTTGAGGATATTTCAACAACAACGAGGCTCATCCTATCGATCGCTCTGATTCGTGTTGGTTGTCGAGCGCCATGTTTTGTCCCGATCTGCTGCTGCTGCTGCAGGTGTTAGTACCCCGCGTAACAACGATTTTTTTCGAATCCGTTCCACTTTTGTTCCGATTGAATCCCACCATCCACCACCCTTTGTCTTCCAGGTGTTCGAAGAAGACAAGCCGCCAGTTGTGGGCGTGATCCCGCTCCAGCCCGGGGACCAGGGTGTGCTCTTCAACAGAGCCAAGCAGGTGATTATTTTCTGACTGCAGCAGTGCGACAGCTTTATTTTGGGTGGGATCTTCGGAATATCAAGGTTAGGGCTGTTCACGCAAACCAGAAGGAGCCAACCTGTTCGATTCTTCCTATACCCCCGAAATCGTTTTTGTTGCGAAGCTGAAAGAACGCAACAACCGTTCGCCCCGACCGACGCGCTTTTCAGGACCCGGTTGGTGACGCTGCGCATACGGTGACCATTTCCCGCTCCCACACGGGGGAGGGGGGTAACGTGGTTGAGAAGTACTTGGAGGGGCACCAGACGCTGCTGGCAGGGGGAGCGGGGTACAAATCGCTCTTGGTTTTGGACGGGAAGGCGGAGGCGTACGTTCACGTAACGGCTATCAAGGTGGGTTGTGAGGAGAGGGCGTCGGAAGCTTGTCGCTGTCTCGATGGAGATGATTTTCATGAGGTGTTCATTGAGATGAGAGGAGAGAAAGAAGCGGGGAACGGGGGGGGGGGGGGGGAGGAGCCGCCATCGGTTGCAAGGGATGGTGGTGTGATGTAATGTGTTTTGTGGTTTCATGTGCTGTGCGATGGCTTTCTCTCGTATCTAGTTTTTCGCACCCCGTGTGTCCTCTCTACGCCCGCCCGCTTTCGCCAAGGCCACCCGATCGATCACATCCGATTCCGCATCCCTTTTCCCGTTGTTTCGTGCTTTCTTGTGGAACACGTGCTTCGAAATGTGGCTGGAACTTGTTGCTTGGACCAAAGTCATGGGACGTGTGTGCGGCAGAGGCGGTGATGAAGGCCAGCGGTGGGGGGTTCAGCGATATCGAGGGAAAGCAACTGGCATACCCCATGGAATACGACAGGTGCGACAGGACAGGACGCGATGTTGTGATTGTCTCAAGCATGACGTTGCTGCTGTTTCTACTGATGTCCGGATCGTTGTTGTCGTTGTTGTCGTTGGTGTTGTTGTTGTTGTTGTTGATGTCGGTGTCGGTGTCGGTATCCTTGTTCCAGTGTTCCGGATGAAAACAATCCTACGTCTTGCCATTACGTTGTATAGGTTACCCTTATCGATGTGCTGCCAGTGCTTCACGCCATTATGTACGCCGGTAACTTCCGGGCAAATGGCCAGAGAAGAACGTCGCAAATGGTATAGCTTCATGTCGTGCGTTTCCATTGAGTATTATTTTAGGGTTGGCCTGCAAACGCACACACACACCTTTCCCCCGACAACTTGCTCTTGCTCACCCTCCACGCCCCACCCGCGGGCACGGTTGTCTGGTGGCCTTCTTGTCTGCTGGCATGCGCTGGCACGGCTTTGTGGCGACTTGCGCACCGGCGGCCACGACGTCATCAACAACCACAACAACGACGACAACAACAAAAACAACAACAACAACAACAACAACAACAACAACAACATGAACAACAACCACGACGACGACGACGACACAGTACGCACTCCCAGGCTCTGTTCAAGAACGGCATCATCGCTACCGCCTCGAAAGAGCAGCAGGACTTCTTCGTCACCAAGCTAGACGGAAACCTCTCCTAAGAACGTTTGACGTGTATCTGCTGTAGCTCCCTCGTCAACTCTACAGCAGCTCGCGGCGACATCTCCGTACTCTTGAGATGTGACACCGCCTGAGGTTTTGTGTGTGTTGGCCTCCCCCCTCCGTCGCTTGGGAATGATGTCCATGTGAAACTGCTGCAGCCGTTCACACGGTGTCGGTTTTCTTTGTTTCTCGTCGCTTCTGAGGACGGTGTTCTCACGTCTGGATCCTCGTCGGTTTTGTGGTTCGTGCTTGCCAGGTTTCAGTCAATCGGTCGCTTTTGTAGTTCTGGGGTAGCGAAATCACGAGCTCAATGTTAATTTTTTTTTGTTGTTGTTCGATTGACTGCCCTGGTGCCGGTGCGATGGTTCCAGCCTCGGTCGCGCCCATAATTTTGCTTGTGTGTTTTCACCCTCCTCGCTATTTTTATGTGTCTGGTTCTTATTATTGTTTCCAATGTCGGAAGTCTTAAGCGCGAAGACTATCGTCGCCTCCTTTGTTGGGGCCGTTGGTTACGCGAGTGTGGTCCTTGTACTTATGTACGTCTCTTGTTTGTTCTTGCTCATGAATGAAAACTAGACTAAATAGTGGTCTAAAATATTATAATTTGAAGCGTGTAGCCTCGTCCGGGCAGTCATACCCTGTGCCCATGGGAGGCGGGCGTCCTCGTCAGTTGGTTTAGAATCGGAAGGTACTGAGCAGAGAGATGGGAACGGTTTTTAGTGTCAAGACAACAACGAACGGTGGTAGTGATTGTGCTGAAATTTTATCGGAGGTGATGGTGGTGAATGAATGAGAGGCCAGGGACTGCTGCGGAGCACTCCGCGGATCAAAAATTTGAGATGCCAGTCGGAGCGTAACCACGCACCCTTGGGCGTTGTTTTGTCTTGTCTCGAGTTACGTACGCCGATTGAATCACAGGATGCATGCATGCATACTTGAGAGAAGAGGGTGGCTTCTGATGTTTCCACAGAGAGAGTTATTTTCCCTACTTGGGTACGGACTTGCCCCAAGCAGGGTGGTTTGTACTTGGTGTGTCAGCACGATGGCGAATCATGTGGAACAAGAGCATCCATCCACACGTGGTGGTACCACAGCATTTAGGTGTCTCGAGTAGCAGTTGGAATGGAGAAGTGCGTCTCGATCGACCAGCCGGTAACCTGCGCAGGGGTTTCGATTGAGTACTACTGTAAACATGTTGGGTAAATTAAAGCATGCATGATAGGGTCTGCGAAGTTGGGTTAGGGGTAGGGTCTGCGTACCCCCCTCCCTGTCTACTTATTTCCTCAATCTCTTAATTCTCGCCAAGCAAGGCGGTCCCGATCGACGGGGAGGGGTGCACACCCGGGGGGAGGCCCAACATGTTGGGTTTGTTTTCGTGAGCGACTCCCTCCTTTCTCTTTTCTGAATGCATACAAACGAAGAGGATTTCGAGGGTTTTCTCCAAAGGCCGTCGAGAGGAGTTCGATAGACACGCATCATCTGTCGGACTCGCGATTAGACGAGTCTTCGACGCCGAAGAACGTTCAATCAAGTCTATGCCGTCTTTGCCCCCTTTTATTGGAGATGGAGTCCCAATGGGTGTGAATCATCAGTCAGTGCCAATCTACACGGATTAGTTCACATGACCACCCAAAATAAAAAAGAAGGTAAGCGATCCCCACGCGGCGTGTTTGGCGAATTAAAGTCGGTTGTTTACACGTGCGAGATTTGGTTTGTTACGAAGTTATCCTCGTAGTTTTTTTCGAGCCTAATGCAGGGAATGTAACAGTAGAATAGCTGCGGGAGGGGGGCGGGGGGGCGCCGTGAATCGTTCCGCCCGACCAAGGGAATGCACAACAATCAATCTTGTTTTGGGGGGCGAGGCTCTCTCATCGCATGCATGCTCATGCATTCCTGCGGAACGGGCTTCAAGCGGGGGCAAGACTAAGGGCATTCATTCAACTCGAGCGGCAGCACAAAGCGATGCTGAGACCTCCTCCGCACACTGTGCCAATAACGTGATGACTGTGTGCCACACGTCGTCCCCGGTGATAAAAGGGCACGTGGGTGGTCCGTCGCGGAATATTTATCGCTCGTGCGGTATCTCGCAGAGGGGACCACATCATGTGTGCACCTCGAAATACGTCGTAATTGCACAGCAGTACCACCCAGAGTTTGGGGTACCTTCAAAGAAGCGTTCCTTCTTTGTGGAAAACCGAAGAAAGAGCAAGTACGCCGGGAGTTTGGCTACCGCACATTACATGGCAACACTCGTACGGGGGCAAGGCGTCGACCAGTGTAAGCTCATCATCGCCTTTACTAGTACACCCCGTTCAAAAAACATGGCATCGATCTTCCCTCAGATCTGCTGCTGTTGTTACTGTCGCGCAAACTTGGGCCACGAAAACACAGATTAAAGTACGAACCGATTGATTTATCAGCACGCGGGCGCTCAACTACCAGTTCCATCTACACGTACCTAACTATGATCCTACGGCAGTTAGTTCCTGTTTCTCCCTCCGTACAACCTCCCCGTCACATCATTGCAACACACCCACTGGTGGTGTCGTAGTCTATGCTACGACGAGCACTCGGTGTCATCTCACGATCGAGGCCGACGGCGGAGTCAAAGGACCGAGAACGTCGTATCGCGACGAAACGGCTGTAATCGGATCGGGCCTCGAAAACAACTCGACCATATATAATATGACCACCCCTAAACCAAACTAAAGCCCCACACAACAAACAGCGTGTGCTCGCCTATCGTGTGTAGCACTGCAGGCGCTCCTCCACACCAATCAACGGTGTGTGTGTCTGGCGTACTTAACACGGCAAACAAACATCATCATCTCGTGGTGAGGAGAAAAAACGGCCTCTGCGAACGAAGGAAACAACGACAACAAGCAAGCGGACGAGCAAGCCAAGCTCCAAGTAGGGTACACATCACGACAACGTTTTCACTCCGTGGGACACACCGTGGTACATTACCATGGTACAGAGCGCAACGAGGGCAACGCCTGCCTGCGTATGGTGATCTACGGACAACAGACGACGAGAGAGACTGAGAGGAGACAAGAAAAACCCGAGACGCTGATGGATAAGGACCCGAGGACGAAAATCGCCCGAAAAACAGGACGACGGCGGCGGTGACTTCGTCGAGACAACTTTGTTCTAGCTTCTTACCCCGTCCCTTTCGTACTGTCGAGACATTCCAACTTCTTTGACACAGGTATATATAAGCATGCACAGGGAAGCACGCGTATCGCAAACACAAGCACATCGACTTTTGCGAATCCTTGCACCTACACTCGTGCGCTTTCTTATGCAAGCACCCACCATCACCTACGATATAATTCGGGAGGCACAAAAACTGCGTCCCGGCTGACTGATAAAACACGCGACGAAGGAAAGGAGCGGCCGAAACGATAAACGAGCAACGCAGACAGGGCAAATCAAATAACATGCATCTCCCTTTGGAAACATCGAAAACTCTCTGCAACTACGCATGCAACCCTCCCTGACCAGCAGTCAAACACCCTCCCGCCCTCAGTAGGCGGCAAGAACACCGCTGCAAGTGACTGCTGTAACATCAAATTACTGCTGTCTCAGCAGTAGAAAAACACAACCTGCGTCGATGCAGGGAAAACTCCCGGCCTGATGAACTCTCGCCGCGCTTTCAAAAGGCAACAAGATTAGCAAACGTTCACCAAGCTCCCGACAACAAACACAAGAAACGACGAAAAAGCTTTGGGTAGAATGTTCTTGTACATGCCAGGCTGAACACTGGTGAAGGACGGGCACCCTCCTACCCGATAGCCAACTGCCCACCCACTACCGCCGTGCAGCATCCCAACAAACAACGACCAAGGGCCAACAAATCTCTTACCAAACAACGATTTAAATACCTACCGCAACAATAAATTTGACAAGAGCTGAGTTAATCTCTATCCCAACGACCTTACTCTAACAACAAGGGGGCTCGCGATACGCACAATCGGAACACACGCCTCGAAATTGCCATACGAAAACCCTTGGGAAGGTGGGGCGAGATATCTATTTATTCTATGGGCTTAGCATAGAGATTCAGCATCGACAAACAACCGGACAATGTGTTGTTACATCGAGGTGGGTGTGGTGCACACACTCCAACTCTGTACACTATTTACTACTACATGGGTCTGACGAAAGCCAATACAACGACATGTGTGGTTCTACAACGAACTATTACTGCAGCGGGGGGGGGGAAACCCGCCTTACGCCTGGCACGGTGCGTACAATAGACTTGGTCACCGTGCTGGCCCAATCACCCGCGCTACTGGTGTAAAAAATAACGTCCTCCAAACAGATTCCAACGCAACGAGCGAATACACCAAAACTTCGAAAAGTGCTCCAAAAATTTCAACGCTGAGAGGGAGCGGGGGGGCTGGGCAGGCCGAGAGCCTTGCTACAGATCGAAGTGCAAAAGGCCCCTACCCTTCAAACCACCCACAGCCGGTAGATATAGCACCACGTCGGTCGCAGCCCCTCCGACCTCTCTCGCCCAGCCCGAAAACAACGCACCCGTCCCCCTACGGGAAGCGCTGACTACTAGTCACGGCTGGTTATACCCGCAAGAGGACACACAAAAAAAATGTCGGTGATACCTTGCTGTTCATGTCGCTTACGCGAAGCTTAGCCCGGCCAGGTCATCCATAGCGTCTTCGTAGTCCTCCTTGGAGTCCTCCGGAGTGACCAGCGTGCAGGCGTCCCCCTCGCCGTCCTTCGGGTGTTGCTCCTTCACCGAGACGACCATGGCCTCCTCGACAACGCCAGCCGTGGCTGTGTCCACCTCGCCCCCTTCCACCGCCTTGGCGGCGGCGTCGGCCGTAGCAATAGCAACAACGCCTGCCGCGTCTTCCGAGCCGTCCTCCTTCTCAGCGTACTCCTCATCCTCCTGACCCTCGTCCGACTCCGATTCCGTCTCCGCCCCGGCCTCCGCCTCCTTATCATCACCCGCGGCCGCATCAGCATCGCCCGCAGCGGTGGCAGTGGCATCAGAAGTAGTGACGCCACCACTCGCGCCCTCGACCAGGCCGTCGTCTTTCCCCGACACGGCTGTGTCCTCCGGAGCATCACCAGCAGCAGGAGCAGCAGCAGCAGGAGCAGCAGCAGCAGAAGCAGAAGCAGAAGCAGAAGCAGAAGCACCAGCGACTTCGCTGGTATCCTCGGCGGTGCTCTCTTCTTCCATCTTGGGTGGTTCTTCCTCCTCCATGGGTAGTTCTTCCTCCTCCTTGGGTGGTTCTTCCTCGCCTTCTTCTTTCCCATCTTCGCTCAACAGCAGTTGAGCAAGCTCGTCCATGTCCTCGACGACGGTGAGTCTTCCCCGTATCGTCGACTGCAAAGGACCAATTTCGATTGGGCCGATTCCGATCGGGTCGATTTCGATTGGACACCAGGTTTGACGGGCCGGCCATTCATGAGCAACACACAGGGCAATAGCCGCGGGCAGGGGGGGGGGGGGGGGGGGTCTTGTTTCAGGTGCTGACGTAACGCGTAACACGCACCTAGTGTATGACGGTGAATACCACACACCTACCTCGCTGGCCGAGCTTCAAACCGCCTGTGTTGGCCACACGGTACAGCACCATAAATGGCATTGCCGAAACTGGCCGTGTTGAACAAAGCTGCTACCTAGAGCTTTCTGAACACGTATCGCTCCGCATTGGCACCTGTTCGGTAGTGTGCAGCAGGCGTGCTTTGAACAATCAACCCGGGGGGGTTCGAGACACACATCGTCAAAATACGGCACCCACAGACTCCTAAACCCGTGCACACATCCTTGTGAAGACAAACACACATCAACAACACAAAACACACGCTTCCACTCGTAAACACTTCCTGCTCCCTAGGAACAGCACGTGCACACAACACAAGCCACCGGCGCAAGCACACAAACGTGGACAACCCCCGGACAAGGAAGTCACACATGCTGTACCTGAGGCCCAACAGTGACGCGGGCCGAGGAAATGTCTCCGAACACCTTGCCCTCGTTTACCACCATCACCTCCTCGCACACGACGTCTCCGTCAACCTGAGCGCGCAACAACAGAAACAAAGAAACAGCAGAGAGCAAGAGAAATAGAATCAGCGGGTGGGCGAGGTGGTCGGCAGGCGGCAAGAACGCCTCTATGCGTTTTACCCGGGGGTACCTGGTGCTATAAGCGCCTTGGGATGCCGGATGTCGGGTTAGCGGTAGGGTCACAACCGTCACGCCAGCCCCCAACACAACAAAAACGACAAAACACGATTTATCCGTTTTGCGAGAGCGACAGAACGCGGCCAACTCTACCCTCGCATAAATGCACTAGAGGTCCCTGTTTAGTGCCGGTTGAATAGTGCCGGTGTCCGGCATAGTATAGTGCCGGTGTTTTCGGCGGGCAAACACTGAGTTTCCATGTCATTCTCACTACTTTCAAATAGAGTCAGATAGAGCTGGTCCGAGGTAGTGCCGGTTAATTTTCTGGGCACATACCGACACTATACAGGGATCTCTACTGTACGGATGCGAAAAAAAAAAAAGAGCTTTGTAATCGTATTTGCTTCCGCAAGCCCATGGGCTACGATTGGCGTCGCGTCGTACAGATTGTACTACAACAGCAAGGCCACGCCAGAACACAGGCAACAACATAATAGCACTGGTGAGGCGTGAGCCGAGCAACGTGTCTGGCGCCTGTTCAGGGGCGCTATGGTTGCAAAATCGCCACCAACGCGCTCATCTTGTCGGCACACTTGAAACTCATGCACTTGCATCGATTTCAGGATACAGCAGCAACAAACAAATTCCCTCGCCCAGCTCTTGAATCAACCACCTTCCCCGGAGTTACGTACGTCACGCCTCAACTGAATCCTCACTTCCTTGGCAAATCAACCAGTAAATCTCGACGCCCCGTGCCCCCCTCCCCTCCGCCTGCCATAGGGCATGACGTACCTGTCCCTCCACGAGAAGGAACTTGAGGCCCTTGAGATGTCCTTTGATCTTTCCCGTAGGCGCTACCACCACGCGGCCGGTGGAGATGAGATCGCCCTGGAAGGTGCCTTCCATCCGCAGGGAGCGCCCGCATTCCAGCAGCCCCGTGAGCTGAGCAACACGCAGGGGAAGCGGCGTTCTAGGTTAGCGGAGCAAGATTAGCACGCGTTTAAGAGTGTGGCGCTACTGTCGGGGGGGGGGGGGTCACGGATTGGAAAATGGGATCCCGTTCTCTTGTAGAAAACGAAAAAAACGTCAAAGAAAAAGACCCCGTGTTCGAGATAATTCCCAACTATTGAAGGGATGTGATGGAAGTCTATTCCCTCTTCTTAAAGCCTCATGTCTTTATGGTGGCCACGACCGCAGTTGATGCTATTAATAAATGCCTAAGACGTGGCATGGAAGACAACATAAGCACCCTACCGTACGTTGCATGAGATATCACACACCCTGGACCGATTTTATGAAAGGATGCCGAAATCAAAGGATGTGTTCTCGGAAAGCTCTCGACGGGACGGTTCAAACGCCGCCATTTTCGGCACCGTAACTTCTCTTCTTGCCGAGAAATCGAGCTTCGAAAATCGGTCCAGGAGGTGTGATATCTAATGCAACCTACGGTATCTTCCGATTGCCATTCAGGGGAGGAACGCAGAGCCCACTACCGCTGCCGATTCTAGCAGGAGGAATCCGACGCAGGCGCGAGCGCGGGCGGCTGGCGAAGTGTACGAATTGAAGAGAACGAGTAGTCGCGAGTGTGGTCTGCGTTGGTGAGAGTGAGAAGGAATAGGCACACACGAACGCACGCGCCGACACGCCGAGATTTGCGCGGGCAGAGCTTGCATGGGTGGCCTTGCCCATTATGTTGAAAGTGGACATACATGGTCATGAAATAGAAGGCAGCCGTCATCACACACCACCATGGACGGATGACGATACACCCCCACCACAGGCGCTTGAGTATGTATGCAAGCCAAAGGGGGGCACACGAACTGTAGCAGGAAAATAACTGTATCTTGCCGCTCTCTCTCCCTCTCACACACTCATGCACTAACGGATGTTTTATTGGTCAGCCGGTTTGCGCGGTCGGTGCAATTAACATCAACACCCAACCAAAATACGGGGGGGGGGAGCAGCTCAAGAGCCTAGCTGTATTGTAAAAAAGTTCCACACGACACCACTCTACAGAAGACGTATATATATAGTAGCCCAGCTGTAGGACGAGGTCTCAAAACAACATGTGCGATTGGGATAATTATTGCAGCGCCGTCGACCTATGCCAATTTTGTGCTTGCGGCAAGTACAGAAAGCACGTATCGACGTGCATCGTGATTCTCAGATGCGGTATCTAGAATCCAACGGCCATCCAGCACAGCGACTCTCCGGTCAAGCGCGCAACATAATCTTGGCCCGCTAAAAAAAGCAGCGCCTGGCAAGGGTCGAAAAAATTCCGACACAGCAGATGAAACAAACAAAACGCTATGTACGTACAAGGTGTTTCTCGTACACAACTACCATGGTATGAATGTATTGCTTTAGGAGAGAGATGGCACCGGGAGCTACAACACCGTTTTTTTGAACGTTTTTTCTTCGCGTTTTAATCGCGCCCCGGTGCGATCTCTCCGACCGGTGCCATCTCTTCGACTCTTACGATAATCCATTCCATATCAGGACTCTTATCTGTAGAACAAAGGAAGTTGTGTCTCTGTACAACAGAAAAAAAATCGACTGTAAGGTGTGCGTAACTACATACCCCTACACAAGACGAAAACCGAGGACCCACCGACATTGTCAGCGCCACCACCGCCTCGGGCTCCTCCTCCTCCTCCTCCTCCTCCTCCTCTTCCATCCTCTTCTCCTCCTTCTCTTCCCCAGTCTTGTCCTCCTCGTCCTCCTTCACTTCCTGCTTCTTCGTCTCCTCCTTCAGCTCCACCGCCTCCTCCTCCACGGCCTCCTCCGGCGCCGCTCTGGGCGTGTCCGCGACCGGCTCCGAAGGCTCCTCCGATTTCGTTTCCTCCGCCCCGCCCGGCGCGGCAGCACGGGTCGTTACCGCCACCGCCACCGCCACGCCGCCGCCGCTCTCATCGCCGGAGGTGGCCACGGAGCCCGCGGGGGGTGCTGATGCGGTCGGATTTGATGTCACCGCAGCACCATCTTCCTTCTCCTTAGGCGGCTGCTGCTGTTGCTGCTGCTGTTGCTGCTGCTGTTGCTGCTGCTGCTGCTGCTGCTGCTGCTGCTGTTGCTGCTGCTGCTGTTGTTTGACATCGGCGGCTTGCTTTGTCGACGCCCCTGCTGCTGCTGCCGGCGCGGCGGCACGCGGGGGCGCAGAGAGCCTGCGCTTCGTGGACACCCGGTCGCGGAAAATCGGGCGCGATGAGCGCCTGTTGCCGCTGGCTGCCGCGTCGGTTGCATTGCCCTGGTTCGTTTGTTTTCGAGCAGGATACAATAGCAAGGACAGGCAAAAGGGTGTAGTCAAGTAAACGAGAGGGGTCAAACTGCTGTGATGGCACGTGCGCATGCAAGACGCACGGGAAATTGAGCGTGGATATTCAGTAAAAAATTGTTCTGGGGCCACAAACAAGATAGAAGTTTGCGCAAGCGCAGGTTTAGCGAGGACGCCTACATACCTCCCAACCGACCCAACAAAGAGCAGACCCACTACTATAGTATACCAGTAGTCTACTGCTGTAGTAGCTGGGTGCGCAGCACATGCTCGTTTCATGGAGAACGAAACAAACCAGAACCCTAACGGTGAGTCCTGAAAAGAAGCGATTTGCTACGGGGTATGCTACCAAACAGCAGTAGCAAAGAGGGAGTGGAATGAGGGAGGTAACTGCTGTTGTTGGAATGCATAGGAAGGGCCCACTCAACCCAGAGACGCTGAAAGCCGAAGCACAAGCCTAGCATCGCACGGAGAATCAACCGCTGTTGTGCGACACTATGTTTCTTCTCCCGGAGTTGCCCCCGTATCGCAAGCACCAGAGTGACTACTGCATTGGCAACACTGCACTCCGCCCCGCCCCCGCCCCTACCGCTGCTGGAAACGATCTCCCTCAAGTTTGTCCGAGTTATTGGGCTGCTGCAGCTTGCTTTCTGGCTGGAGGTATGCACAAGTCGCTTACATGAATGCATAGAAGCGTCAAGCTCTGCGGCCATACCCATGATAGTCTTGCCCAGCAGGCTGCAGCATACGTTTTCCTCGGTGGAGGGGTGGGTGGGTATGGGTGCGTAGTTGTACTCATGTCGAGTCGATGACACTGCCGCTGTTGAGTGAATGAGGTATGGTGGCAACAGCAGTGCCAAACCGGGGGACTAACGGTACTGAAGGCACGAGCGCCCGAAACGGAACTTTCTCGTTCCCACCACTGGTGCCCGAAGCGGTACACATAGAAGCAACTACAGCAGAATGCCACTTTCGCCGCTAGGGGTACACGTGCGTGATGGAACACGAAAAAATAAGCCCAGTACCCAGCCGGTTTCCCTCGACTCACTGCAAAGACTCCAACACACGCCCTTCTTGTACAACTCTGGTTACGTATGTCTCGAACGGGTAGATAGTAGACAGTTCTTTCTGTGGTCGTATTTATTTTTCTTATGCATAGAATCTACCCGTTCGGCACTACGGACAACGACTCTTTGCTTGCTGCCTATATGCATTTGTATACGTGGTACAAGTAGTGTTTGTGTGTTTGTTGATATACTACATGCCTGGCAGAAGTACAAGATTTAAACTCGCCCCGCCACGGCGGTAGTCTAGACTTACAGCAAGATCTTTTCTCAGCAGCAAAATGACTACACTCACGTTGACATCAGGGGATACCGCGGGCGTCGCCGACGATTTCTTGGTGCGGAAACGACCCAGGAAGTCACCCGCCGACATGCTGCTCGACAGCGCCTTGGCGAAAGTTCCACGCCTCTTCCTCTCGCCGGCGCCCCGGTCGGACATAGCGACGCTGACAACCTCAAGGCCCTCTGCCCTCTGGGCTGCCGCTGCTGTTGTGTTGGCGCTAACCGTTGCCGCTCGATCACTCTCACCCTCGTGGGTCCCCGCGACCCCTAGACCCGAGGCGGCCTTTAGGCTGACGCTCCTTCGGGCCTGGGGGGAAGCTAGCGACGGAGCATCATCTGCTGTTGGATCGAAAGGTGGAAAAGGTGGAAGCACCTGCTGCTGCTGCTGCTGCTGCTGCTGCTGCTGCTGCTGCTGCTGCTGCTGCTGCTGCTGCTGCGGTCGCCCTTCTTCGCCTACGCCAGCACCGGTGGCGGGGGGGAGTGATTGGCCCTTCGCTGCTGCGGCCTGCTGGTCGGACGGCGTCATCGTCATCGTGGTTGTGGTGACCTCCTCTTGTTGCTGCTGCTGGTCGGCACCACCAGCCGCAGTCACCGCCGCCGCGGTCTCCACCCCCCGTGGTTGGTCAGCGGAAGGGTCTGCCGCGGATGATGGTGATGATCTTGCCGCCGCCGACGGAGTCGCACCGCCCTTGCCCTGCTTTCCAGCGGCACCGGGCGACGCCGAGATCGCCGACACCATCGACGACTCGCCTGCGGGCGGCGGCCTTGCTGCCGCCGAAGACGGCGAGAATCTCGCAGTGGCTTGTTGCGAGGAGGTGGGCGTCCCTAGCGGAGCTCCTCCCCCTGGCGCCGACCGGAAGTTGGCAGCGATGGACGCCACCGTCGAAGCCGGAGCGGTGCCAGCGTCGGTAAACTTACCGGTGGAGTAGCCCGCAGAGCTTGTCGGAGTAGCGACTCCCCTCTCGTCAGCTTGCAGGGCCGCCGACAGCAGTGACTCCTGCGAAGCAGTCCTCCTCCTCTCCTTGGACGCTCGGCGAGATGAGTACGGAGAGGCGTAGGCTAGAGCCACCGAAGGAGGGCTGTTGATTGGACGAGGGGGGGGGGTGGACCGCGCCGCCAGAGTCGGGAAGACACCGGATGACTCTTTCTCGCCATTACCCTCCGCTTGTCCGAAGAGCTGCTTGAAGTGGAAGGATGGGGGGCGACCAGGAGTGAAGTTCACCACAGGGCCGGCACGGGCCCGAGTTGGAGTCATCGTAGCTGTAGGCCGTGCGTCCCTGTGTACCTTCGAATCTCTGCCCTGTGTTTTGAATTCTTCGATGGTGTCGGGTGCAGGGCTCGTTGATTCCAAGGACGGCTTCAGGGACGGCTGCCCCAGCGCGAGCTCGACATCACCGCTCCCCACTTGAAGTCCCACTGGTGAATCCTGTTCCGAATCACCCTCATGACCACTCCCGCTGGCATCAGACTCCTTTGCAGGAACGACCTTCACGGCAGACATGTTGCGCTGGTGGAAGTGTCCAGCTCGGCGGAGGTAGCTGATGGATTTTACACTGAGAGTACTGCTGCTCATGTACTTGCAGCAGTGGAGGCGGCAATGGAGGGAGAGGTACGAAACTTCTAAGCACGTGCCCTGTGGCAAAAACCCTAGGCCGGCTCGCCTAAGATGGTGGAGGCACTCTAGCTTGCTCTCGGGTGGAAAAGGGTGGAGTACAGCTAGGCGATGATGTGTTACTGTCGGCCCAACGGGCCAACACAAGTGCCAGGCAAATGGCTGGACAACGGAACAAAAAAATTCGAAAAAACCGGATCTTTCCTTTATTTTTCAGAAAGTGGGGGTTTCGTGATGGTACTGACGGGTACCCTCTCGGCATGTACAGTAGCATGAAACGGTCATCATGTGTATCTCGACGGCGCGGCAGCAGTGTCGCGCCGCGATGGAAGCTTTCAACCGCCTGACGACGGAGAGGAGGGGTGCGGACACCATTCTTCAAGAGGCTAGTAGTCATCATGGGGAAGGAGGATACTCGAGAGTCGGTGTTGCTAGGCTCTCGTATGGCCACGCGTGATGACGCGCTAGCGCTCGGGCCTGAGCAATCACACCGCATTATTGCGGTGCTCGAGGAAGCGGCCGAAAAACTGGGCTTCCTAGGGAGCATCATGCCCGATGTACTGCAGCATAGGGACGAGCTCAGCAAGTTCGTTGGAGACGAGATATCGCGCATCATTCAGGTGCGAATTGTTGTAACTGGGTTCACCTCGTCAACCTCGATTTTGTACGTACAGCAGTAGTCGTCGTCTGACTTGCCGATGATGCTGCATGGGAGGTAAGACAACACACGCACCACGGACGGTGCCGCTACAATAGCAGCGTGTGATAAAGGCATGGAGCCCGACGAATGCTCGAAGATCTGGCATCTTCTTCATTGTTGAAAATCTTATCAACTGTGAGTCGGAGCAGTAGTCTACTACCCCATGCGGGGCCGTTGCTTCATTCCCCCTTTGCTGTGTGGGTCATCATTTCCAGACACGTCTCGATATCCACCTCTCGGGGGAGTTAGACTACTGCACTACAAGTTGATTCGAACTAATTAATGTGTTTCGTGGGTAATGGTTGACGTGTTGCGATGAAAAGGGACCTCTTGAACAAAATTCAAGTTGAGAATGGTTAAAATACTTGTTCGTTGGACCTTTTCGAAATAGTAAACTGAGCGGAACATAGTGTATAATATCTAAACACTACACCCGATAGCGGCAGCAATACTTTTTCATGGTGAACATTCTTGATGCTCTTCCCGGTGCTGACTGTAGGCGCACTCCAGTTGCTTTCTGAACTCTGCCACACAAAAAAAAAAAACGCTGACCGCGCAACAACAGGAACAACGTCAGCTTGAGGCCAGATATGAGAAGCTCATCGCTCAAAGGAGCACACTGAAAGGGCTAGCCAACAAATCCCGCTACAAGGAGGTGAAGTCAAAGGAAACATGCATACGGACGCAGGGCACGTCTTACTGCTCTTGAACTCTGTGGGCAGTGTTTTTCTAACATCTCGAGGCACGGGCAATCGTGGGCGACGACGTCATCGTCTCGGGGATGTTGCTGTAGCTGTATTATTGCGATGGACTCACGTCCTTCTTCGCCCTCTTGGCCCTCTTGGACACTGTAAGTTTCACGACTATTGCAAACCCGTTGTGACCGCACCTTGAAATGTCCGTTGGCTTCGAAGTCAGTGTATCTACAATAGCCCATACCACGCTGTTCTTCTCGCTCGCCCAAATATCTGCTACAACTTTCCCAACCAGATGTTGACTAGATTGGTTTTTTTTTTTTTTGTTCTTCACTTCAAATCAGCGCTCACAGCACTACAAGTGCCGTTTATTCCAACCCGTGGTCACACAGAAGAGCCTCTCTCTACCCTCCCCTCCTGCGGTACTTCGCCTTCAATTTTTAATGCGAGAAGAGTTTAGCACTCTCTTCCCTCTGTGTACACACGAACTAGCGCTATCCACTTGGCCAGGAGCGGAAGCGAGAGAAAAACTCACTTTGCAAGAAAAGCTCGCCTACGCCGGGATTCGAACCCCTGACCTGACCTCTAGAAGGTTACGAGGCTACCAACTAGACCACCGGGGCGACCGGGTATGGGGATGTATCCATTCTCCACGCAGCTTTCGCCAATGCCCAACGGAGAAAAGTCATGGACGATTTTGACTGGCTACTCTTGTCGTGTTGTCGCGTTCTTGTCAGATCCAAGCAGAGATTCAAGAGGTCAGCCTAGCTCTCCGAGAATCCACGAAAAATCTCTGCCGCAACCTGAAAGATAACCCCAATATCAGCGGAAACCTGTTGAAGATCCAGAGGGAGAGGACGGAGCTGATCGACCTCCTCACCGACTCGTGTAGACAGATCGGAGAGGTATGCCGTGAGGTGGATCGAAGAAAAGACAGCCCACCATCACAAGTCATGCCGCTGTACACGACACCGGGTTGCAGTGCTTCGTCGGCGTTACAGTAAATCGTGGATGTTGGTCACCCATTGCTGGTTCTCTTGGCAAAAGCTCAAACAACAACGGCAACAACCACACCCGTAGTTGGGACAAGTTCTCTCACGAATGAAAGGGTTTTATAGACTTGAAAATAGTGCAGAAACACGGCAAAACTAAGTGACAGCAAGATAAGAACTATCCCGTTGTGTGCGGAACGAGAAATCTCCGAATGTAGGTGTATGATCAGCCCCCAACCGTACTCCCTGCATGACTCCTTGAAATGGGTCACGTTTTGTGGAATGTGGCTTTTTCTTGAGTTGTGTGGCTCTTTTCCTCACGGTGGTGAGAAGTCGGGTAGGCTAAATATGTCTGAGGGGCCACAGACAAGAGAAGACAGGCTGAGACATTGAGCGAGAATTTAACGGAAGCAGAGGAATAAGAGAAAATAACGCTGTTTCTACGGCAAATCCAGCTGGATGCGGGAACCCACAAAAACAGTATTGGAAGTAAAACTTTATTGGCCTGACGAGATTCATCAAGCCTGGTGTTGGGTCCCAAACAAGAAGTTGAACCCCGACCCCAGATGGAAGTTTGTTTAAGCTGTGGGTTATTGCTACAGGCTACATAAAGTACACCATGTTGCAATTCGTTTCGCCACGTGAGGGGCTTGTCGATTCGGAAGGACGCAACTTTGAGAACCCCACGTAAAAACAAGTCTTGAATGATCGGCTGTTGTTCGAACACATTGCCCTGACAGACTCGATCGTTCCAGGCGCTAGTCAGCGTGGTCGAAGACAGCCGTCTAGCGCAGAGCCAGCAGAGTGAGCTGGTGAGGCGGGAGAAAGAAGCCACGCAAACCGTCAAGAAGCTCGAGGCGGATCTATTCGCCGAAAGGGCCGACCACTCAAGACAGGTGACAACCTACCTCAACTCAGGTCTTGATTCACCACAGTCTAGCATAAACGTGGAGGATTCGGAACTGTGTCGCGACTCGGGTTTGCAGCAGCACCCGTAACGGAGCACTTTGTATGCTCAGGCCTTTTCGTCGCACCGAATGCCCCCTCCTGCCTGTGGTGGGCGCTGTCGGGCCAAGAGTAGGTCGAAGAACAAGAAAAATGAACAGAGAGTAGGCGGCAGCACGACCAAGGAGGTTGTCCAAGCGTGTTGGTAGCAGTTTTGAAGGTGTTGTTGGGAGATTTCACGACTTCCCTGATTTCGAGGAGGGTGGACAGCTCGACTGTGCCTACGTCCTCAAAGAGATATACCAACATCTCCTGCCGTGTATCTGTAACTCAATGTGGTCGAACCCGATAGGTCACGGAGAATAAGACGACAATGGTCGACCTCAAGCAGACGCTGCTCAAGGTCAAGTCGAAAACGAGTGTTGATGTGAAGTACAGCCGGAAAGAGCACAGCGCTCGCGTGTCGAGCTTGCTGCGCGTGTACGAGCAGTACGAGCGACAGCTCGAGGGAAAGGTGAGGCACCACCATCGAATGATAGATGAGTAGTTGGCGATGGTGAAGCACGCATCCAGGGCCTTTCAATGGCTCCTCGCCGTCGAAAAGCGACCGCATTGTTTTCGTTCGTTGTCTGGGACATCACCAGCATGTCCGTACCTCGCTTGAGGGTTAAACTCAAAAACGTGATATGCGAGTTGTAAATGCACCCTATTTGGTCGTGTGTGAACAGCGCATTCATGAAAGAGATCCCAAACCGAGCGAATCGTCGTGCCGGTAACTCTGCCTTAGATGTCTTCAGCCTACGTACCCGATGCTACGATATAAGGTCTAGATTGAACAAAATTATAATGATGTCGCAATGTGTTCTATCCTGTTGTTGCCTCGGTCTTGGAATCGAACTAGGTCAAGGAAATGGAAAGGCTGAAAGAGGTTGAGGCAGCCGTGAATGTGCAGACCATGGAATTTCTGGAGAAGAAGAGGAATCAGTTGCAGGACGAGGTTGATGCGTGGGAAGAAAGGCGAGCAGCAACATCAGTGGAAACAGCAACAACAACAACAGTTTTGCGTAGCACTGGTTGGCCAGACGGTGGCAAATAACGTTCATGAAATATTTGGACGTGGGGCGTATTTTGCTTTTCCAATCTGTGGAACAATAGTTCTTGCTGCAACAAACCAGGTAGAAGAAGCGGTATATCTCGTTGTGTGTCTTAGATGGTTTGCTCTCAGCACGTGTGTTACACAATTTGGCAAGCCCGCGACGGAAGGTAGCAGAGACGAAGTAAAACCGAGCGCTGAGAAACCAAATGTGCAACCGTCAGTGGTCCCAAGCAGTGCATGTGTGCTGCCTTCTTCATGCTGATGGAGGCAACGACAACTGCCCGTGGCATGATCTACGTCTGCTTGCCAACGTCTCCACGCAGATACGTGGAGGAAGTAGGAGAGCTAGAGAGGATCTGCGATGATCTCACGAACGAAAGGAACGAAATGCTAATCAAGCTGGAGGGGTTGAAAAGACGGAAACAGATCGAGACAGAGGTGAGGTGGTCAGCGTGCGGATCGGCGCAACACACAATCGGGTGTGCGTGCCTCCCATGGCGACGCGCCGGACGTACGGTGCTCGCGGAAACCAAGAAACTGCCTGGGCAGTAAGAGTTTGCCTGTCGGTACGCACTTTTTAGCTGCTTTTTATCACAAGAGTTAAAGAGAGCTTAAACATGACCGCTCTATACCAGCGGAAATACTGGAAGGTGAGGGCTGCCTGCGCTGTCATCGGCCTTCAACATATAAATGTACAATGTTCGCGAAGAAGATGCTACAGAAACATGTGCTGTTCCGGCGGGCGCAACCATCGTTCTGGTTTCCAACCCATTCCGTTCTTTTACATGGCATGGCATGGCATGGCCCTCTCTTTGTCCTAAATATGGAATACCTTCCTGGGGAAGAGCAAGTTCGAGGAATAAGACGCAATGGCAACGAAACAAACACAAGAGCCGACAAAGACATAAACATTCTCACATCGTGTTGTTCTCTCGCCAACACCTTTTTCTGCACCTTCTACCTTGCGGCCAGTGGCCATGTTTTTGTGTACCATATTAACGCCTACTGGTACACCCGACGGTTGTTTCGTCCTTCTCAGGAAAAGCAAGCGCGAGAGGACGCGAAAGCGTTGGCAGTGTTGGAGGAGCAAGCCAGGACGGAGCTGGAGAGAAGGCAGAACCAGGCCGCCACTCAGATCCAGCGGGTCATGAAGGAGTACGTGTTACGGCAGATCGCCAACAAGAGCAAGAAGGGGAAGAAGGGGAAGGGGGGAGCGAAGGGCAAAGGTGGAAAGAAGGGCAAGAAATAGTCGAAGTGGAAAGAAAACGAATCTTCTTGAAGTTGGTAGTAGCTCGTTTTTTGCTGTCTTTGGCCGCTCGGCTCACGATCATCTGAGCTTCGACGCGACGGATAACAGTGGAGGAAGGAGGTGTCGCCGCCCACAATGGTGAGGGTTGTAAATCCAGTCGTTTCGGGGGAGTTGTTTGTTTGTGTGAATCTAGGTGTTTTCCACGTTTTCTTGTCTTCACTTCAAATCAGCGCTCACAACACTTGGGCCGTTTGTTCCAACCCGTGGTCACACAGAAGGGTTCGTCTGCCTGAGGACCCCTACCTCCACCCCTCCTGCGGTACGTTGCCTTCGATCTTTAATGCGGAAAGAGTGTAGCACTCTCTTCCCTGTGTGTACACACGAACTAGTGCTTTCCACCCAGGCCAGGAACGGAAGCGAGAGAAGAACTCACTTTGCAAGAACTCTGAACAAGTTTGTATCCGATCGGTTTGTGGTTTGCAGATTGGGGGTCCGCCGATATCCCAAGTCTGTCATCATGTAGCGAAGAGCGAGAAACGTTTTGGCAGAAGGGTTGGGACGACTTCGACGACCACTTTCTATGTATTCGATTTTACAACGTATGGTAGGTGATCCCTTTACGTAAATATGCTGATATGCCTTGAACCAAGTGGCATGCGATGTTCGACAGGAGACGCGCTCTGTTTTCTCATTAAGAGTGGTGATATTTGTTTTTCCGTTCCTTGCTGTGGGCTAGCCAGCAACCACGGGAAATTGTTTTTAGAATGAAGTGTGCGGGGGAGGAGATATGGGATAGAGGCCAGGACGTGTTTGTATAAGAAATGCAACAACATTAACAGACGACGATGTGTGTTCCCCCGTTGATCAAAGTACTTCACCATTGTGGGTGTTGTGTTGGCGTTTGCGTTGACGATGAAAACTCGAATCAAGTTAACTTTGCCATCTCAAGCTGGCGGGTGTGTAGGACACACGGTTATATCGCGGTACTCTCACTTTTTAGCAAGGCGGACACAGGGATAGGGTATCCACAAATAGGTGCAAATGACGAGCGAGCAGCAATTCGGTCCGCCAGAAGCTTACTTCCAAAATGCGGATAGTGCTACTCGTGTGTCACGCCTAGACGTTGTGGAACTGCTGTATGGCTATGTACCAAAGACTTCTCATCTCGTTTGCATCTAGCGAAGGCAAGCAACGTGAACCAGCAGGTATGCGAGGGTGCTCTCGGGAAATACACGGATGGATGCCTAATATTAACGGTGTGCGTCTCAAGCTCTGGTCTACCCATGATAGTTTTTACTTCAAGCGGTTTCGGGCATTGGCGTGTCAACCAGAAGTAAGTTCGATGCCCACACCCCATGGCAGCGCCACAAGGCTTGAAGACTATCTTCTAAAGTACGGTGCGCGAGAACAAGAACTATCTACGTACTGGGGTTCCTCGTGGTGGTGTCGTGGGTCTGACGGAGATTATTCAGGTGGACTTGCGCATGAATACGTATGGTGACCGTGGTTTGGCGTACTGCTGTAGTTCTCTCGGCCACACCAATCTCCCACTGACAGCACACTTCGACAATACACAAGACCTCCATATCTATCTGCCCATTTTTCCCGAGCTGCCTGTCTCCACTCAATCAATCAAGTTTTGACCGATCCAATCTACCGATCGAAGCCAACTGAGAGTGGAGCGCAAAGGGAATAAACAACTATGCATACTCTAGGGGGCGCATCAAGATGATGGTGATTCTCCATGATGGTTCGATCGTGACGGTGGTGCACTACATACAGTACATAGTCTACATCCTGCGTTTTACCGATGAAGAGAACGGTGGGTGGCAGACTGTCCGTGTGCGGGGTGGCTGTTTCCGCTACGAAGTGATCAACTAACTACGTAGAAACAGATCGTCTGCCAGTACATGCGTACATACTGTAGATGGGTGTTTGTATTTATGATTCCTAAGATCATATACGTACATATTCTATACCGCTGCCTGTACCGCTGCTGCTGTAGATAGATCCAGCCCTGTGCGAAATCGCCCTACACACCTTGAAGCCTGCATAAAACAAATGTGTGTGAGCTTCGACCCTAGAATACTGGCACATTCACAGCAGTCACGCTAAGCACTGTTCTATTCCAAGGGCTGGTCACCAATCAATATTCATGCTACCTCTCAGCAGCCCCAACATGTTCAAGATATGTTTGTAGCTGCACTCCTATGCCTGTGGCACACTCCCGCAGACAGGCAGACAGGCGGACAGTCTTGTGCGCAGTTCCGCCGCATCTACGTATCATCAAAACTCGTGTTTGTCTCGCCGCATGGCATCGATCTCCGTCTCACTCGTGCTAACTCCTGCCAACCAAGACAGCAGAGCCTGCCAGCGAGACAGCTCCACCCTCATACATTATCACCACCAGCCTCGATCCCGTTGGCCTAATCCAAGACCATGTCAGCTTCGAAACGGCAAGAAGAAGACCGCTCACGCGTTGACGGCTTCGAGATCGAGATTGTCAAACTCGTCCAGAGGGAGGCGACCCTGGAACAGTGGAAGGAGTGGCTTCGAGCACCTCTGGAGCATGCCGCGGCCGAGGGGAACTTGGATCTCTTCACACGGCTAATGGACGCTGGTGCCAACGGGGAAGCAGGCTGGCGGGGATGCCATGGCCGAACACTGCTGGGTGCGGCTGCATTTGGTAGGAGTGAGAAGATGGTGCGCACTCTGCTCACCGCGGGGGCGGAGGATGATGTAAACGCCGTCTTCGGGGGTGAAAGCGAGTCCGCTCTCCACGTTGCAGCAGCTCGGGGTGCTGACGACACATGCAGGGCGCTCATGGTCGCTGAAGCAGACCCGAATCTGCGTGACCGGAGGAAACGTAGTCCGCTCCACGTCGTGCCGAAGCTGGGCATCACCGAGTTGCAGGAATGCTTCTCCTGAAAGGGTCCAATGTTGACGCGACGACGGGTTACCGGGAGACTCCTCTCCACCTGGCTGCTTCCAAGGGCCATGCGCTGTGCATTTCTGAGCTTCTGCTGGGCGGTGCAAACAAGGACGTGGTCGATGATAGAGGTGAAACGGCATTGTGCACGGCAGCAAAAAATAACCGCCTCGAGGCTGTCGAAGAGCTTCTGGGTGCTTGTGCCAACTACGGCCTGCGTACCGAAGGCACGCGTTGTTCTCCACTCGAGATTGCTGCACACGGAGGTCACGCGGACGTCTTAAAGGCCTTGCTTGACAAGGACAGTAGTCAACTCGACGACACTGATGGTGAGGGATGGGCAGCTCTACACTATGCTGCAGTTGTTGATGGACCTGTCCGTGACAACGGCGATGCTGTGCGTGTACTGTTGGGAGCTGGGGCTGATGTCAACGAGACGAACAACAACGACTCCTGCTTTACGCCGCTCCATATTGCCGTTAACGGTCGGAAAGTATCGGACGGCACGGTTCGCGCCCTGTTGGAGGGAGGATCCAATATCCATGCGCGCGCTCTACTCGATCAGACGCCACTGCACATTGCTTGCAAGCATGCGAGTGTGACCGGCGTGGAGCTTCTACTGCGTTGGGGAGCAGATGAGAAGCTCACGAACAACGTTGGAAAGACGCCCGCAGACGTGATAAGACCGCGGCGACAGAACGACTTCGACGACGAAGAAGAACGCGAGGCCGACAACCAGCGCATTCGCCGGATGCTTGAACATGCTCCAGCCGACAGGTCATGGCGCCGCCGTGGCTGGCTGGTGCTGAGCCGTTCCTGCCCGACCAGGGTAGAGATCTAAAACGGCAGCAGCAGCAGCAGCAGCAGCAGCGGCAGCAGCAACAACGGTGACTCCGCCAAGGTGGCGAGGGTCAGCGGCAAGGATTCGGGTCGAGGTGATGGGGAGACGGCGGACCAGATGATGGTGGACTTGAGGGATTTGGTGGGCAGGCTGGTCGGACTGGAGGCAGATGGCTTGTTCCGCTTCGTGGTGGGCTTCCTGTGAGGTAGGAGAGGGAGGTACGAGTTTCGCCGTACCGTTCACGGTGATTTCGTTGCTATCGAAGCAAGCAAGGAAGAAAGTTGCTATTTTCTCGATTACTTCGCACCACCGATTCCGTGTTAATGATATCCAGGGGGTTGGTCGAAATACCCCGATGTCTTTTTGCTTCAGATATGATGCATACCCTGCCGGTGTAGCGAATGGGTACCTACAACAATCATCATATTCGACACAGCAGTTGTACGGGAGTGCGAACCGAACGCAGGTTCGAGCGGTGCCGGCCGAACAAGGATAGCTATTACAGTGCTGTTGTTGCGGCTGACCATTTGTCGGTTGTCCGCGATATCATTCTTCGCCGTTCGGGAGGGGGAGCCAACTATTGTACTGCAGTGCCCTCCGGTTAGTTCCTACTATATACATGCTGTTATGTGCTCTTGGCGGTTGTCCAACAGGCTGCAACGAAACTATTGTGACCGCGCTGTAGCTGGTCATGCCACTCAAGAACTCTAGCGGGTGCGTCAGTTGGAATTCCCGCACACACCTGTTGTCCCGTGCTCAGCACTGGCAGTGCAACCCACCAATGACATTTCTGTGTAGCGATAATTCCGCATTTGCAACACTCCTTTGGATTCAATTCCCTGCCTGAGCCACTTGCCCCCGGCATGTAGGTCCATGTGCTACTCTTGCATACTTGGAAATATGAAATGATCTCATATTTTGCTCTTGATGATTGTGCTCTGATCACGCGCCTTATTGCTGTGTTCCCCCGTGACTACGTACTGGTGTTTAGGTTTCAAGCACAAGAAGAGGTCGGAGCGGTGTCTTTTGTTCGAGCCAAACACTACCGTCCAGGGTTTGAGAATAAAGTACAGTAGTAGTTTACGTTTATCGACAAAGGTACGCATAATATGGGAGAGACGGAGTATCATCACCTGAAACCCGATGACGGCGATCCTGCGAATAATCTTGCCGAAGATTTCTGGTATAATCTGTGATGATAGCAGACGGGATGAACGAAGGTCAGTATTGACTTTTTTCCAAAGAGTGACGGAATTGGAAATTATGTTGTTAACTATCTATTGTTGGTTGTGGTTTGGTAACGGCTTCTTCGCGCCAGGTGGCAGCCACAGCAGTATTTCGATGGTGAAGATGGCGAGTGGAGATTTGGCAGAGATTCAGGTGTGCCAGGACTGAAACCTGGGGAGAGCTGAACCTTGGTTGTCGCTTGAGAATACAGATATATGCGAAAAACATGTCTATATTTTTCCCGGAATTACTTTGGCACAAATACGCCCCCACCCCCCTCGAACACGCTGCTGACGGATTTCTCAGTGTGTGCGTTGTGTCTTGTCCATGCTTTCTTTCGAAAAGAATCTTGCTGGTTTGCTGTCTTCTCGATTCCGTTGCGCCTGTCTGTGGATAGTACGTTATTTCTCTTTGTTTTCTCTAGGTCCTTGTGTACGAGCAATAACCGTGCCTCTCAAATCTTGTGATACGGTGTTACGGCTGGAACGTTATGAACCCGGTGATATCAAAGAGGGATGCTAGGTGCATATTTGAAGTACGGAGGGACCACAGCTGGCTCAATGACGGCCATTTTTTCCCGTATTGCTGACAGGTAGCTTCCTCGCATATTGGTCGCCGTTTGCTGTTGTTGGTTTGGGACGTACGTCAACGCCAAGGCGCGCATCCTTTTCACGTTGAGTTTGTTTTGCGGAGGGGCGCGTCGCGTGCTTCTTGTAGCGTAGCTCCTGTTACTTTTCCGGGTAATGTAGTAGTACACATGCCGTTTGGAGGAGGGGGGATGGGTAGCAGTGTAGGTAGGTCGCGGTGCTGCTGTGATACCTCAAGACCACCAGGGGCCAGGGGAGCGTTGTGTCACATTGTTTGCGGCGGAGGGGTGCGCTGGAATTCAAGCGCGTCGTCAATGAATAGGAATAAGCTTATGTTGTATCGGCGTCGATACCTGGTACCTGCGCTAGTTGATTGAAAGAGATCCTGTGAGGTATCCTAATGATTTCACGTTTCTCGCTTTGTTATGCCGCAGCTTCGCGGACGCAAAGTCGCTCATTTCGAGAAGCCACATGAATCCAATTTAGCCCCCTCGCCTTCCCACCGAAGGATGCGCCACAAATCACATACACACCCGCATCAATCGCGATCGCGGACGGGGCTCGCAGACTGCACAGCGGTAGGGAACAAATGCCCCCCGTTCCCTGCTAATTGTTTGGGCTTGTCGCGGCTTGTCAATCCAGTTGTAAAAAGGACCGAACCTATGTAGTCACCATGAAAGGATGTGGCTGGCTGTGTTCGAGACAAGGTGTGCAGTTAGGGATTTGCGTAAAACACCTCGCCCCGCTCTGTGTGTACTCTGCTTACCAAGCGTAGCCGACTACAGAACGCGTCACACACGGGTGTGGTCGGTGAGCGTCAAACAGTAAAAATAAATGTCTGAACGTTTGGCTGTGTCGGTGACCGGCCTTTTCAAGCACAAAACACGCACATGCAGCAGGGCTTCCGGCTTCCACCAAATTGCTCTGATCTCGATGGATTTGTGCCTGAACGTTGCCGATCTTCCCACCAGATTGAAGCCCCGTCCAATCTACAGTTGGATTAACAACCCAATCGACGCTGATATGGTTGTGTGTCCACCAATTTTGCCAGCCAACGAGAGGTTCGGGCCAGGCCGCTGCATCCTTCCGACGCGAAAGTTTGTTCCACCGCATTTCGCACGCACATCAAGAAGCTGATGATTGATGACTCTCTTTTCCTCGTCGGAAAAACATCCATCCATCCATGCATCCATTGTACAATAACTCCGATCTCGACCAATTTGGGCGTGTGCAATAGTTCTCCACCTGGCATCAAACTCCAATATACAACGGGACTACCCACTTCAAGGCCGGGATTAACCTGCCAACGACAGGGTCGGGGCACACCTCTGTCACCCGCCCCGCCGGGGCTATTAATTCTGCCGCGTTTCGATCGTTACACAATATTTCTATTCGTTCTTGTTTTACGCGCCCGCCTATCTATGTGTTCTTTGTCGGCTCCTTTTGACCATCGATATGATGAATGATGGGCTCATTTTTCGATGCTCTACTACACTGCTGTTGTACGTCCTCGACAGATAATATTTACCAGCTTTTTACGCGCGCGCGCATAGTTGCTGTTGGCTTCTCGTCGGAATACGTCAATCCATTGTACCGTACATGTAGGTTACCTCTGATCTCACATGTTTGCGCGTATATATGTAGTTGCCTATCTGCCATGAAATTGAAATCCCACTGCACAATCTACAACATACACCATTTCTCGCTGCGTACAACGGTGAAGAGTGGGAGGGTGTGTGTTGGATAAGCCAGGACGTGTTTGTAAAAGAATACAACAACAACAACAACAACAACACGCGACGGTGTGTGCTCCTCCGATCAAAGTACTTCATCATTGTTTATGTTTTGTTGGCGTTTGCGTTGACGATAAAAAATCGAATCAAGTTAACTTTGCCATCTCAAGCTGACGGGTGTGTACAACACACGATTAATCGCGGTACTCCCACTTTTTAGCAAACAAAGTGGACACAGGGATATGGTACGTAGAAACGGGTGCAAACGACGAGCGAGCAGCAATTAATTCGGTCCGCCAGAAACTTACTTCCAAAATACGGATAGTTCTGCTCGTGTGTCACGCCTACAAACTGTGGAACTGCTGTACGACTACCAACGCCTGCTCATCTCGTTTGCATCCAGCGAAGGCAAGCAACGTGTGCCAGCAGCGATGCGAGGGTGCTCTCGGGAAATACATCCATGGATGGATGGATCCCTTTTAACGGTTGCATCAGCGTGTCAACCAGAAGTTCGACGCCCAGACCCCATGGCAACGCCACAGGCTTGAGGGCTATATTCATTCTCAAGCATGGTGCGATAAAAGCAAGAAAGTATCCTCGTACGTAGGCTCCTCGAGGTGGTGTCGTGGGTCTGACGGAGATCCATTTGGTGAACTGGCGGATGTATGTGGTGACCGTGGTTTGGCGTGGTGCTCTCGACCACACCTATCTCCCACTGACTGCACACTTCGACAACACACAAGACCTTTTCCATATCTGCCCATCTTGGTCGAGCTGCCTGTCTCCACTCAATCAAGTTTTGGCCGATCCAATCTACCGATCAAAGCCAACTGAGAGTGGAGCGCAAAGAAGGGAAAAATCAACTATAGGGCGCGCATCAAGATTATGGTGTTCTTCTTGGTTGTTGACATACTCCATGACATGATTCGATCGTCTTGGTGCAATGCTTTCATCATGTCAGAGGCCCCCGTGCCTTCCCACGGGGGCTACCGTGCCCACCCACGGAAATAAGAGTTGATCTGCGGACGATGTTAACCCAGGGACCGATGCAGATGAGTAGAACCTTGATTATCACACACAGTGCTCCTTCCAGCAAAATATACACAGTATCTCTTGCAGACACAGAACATACAACGTAGACTGAACACATGCGCGGGCTCTCTCTCGAGGGGCCCCGCACTTGGACCCCCAATAGCATACCCCACATACAGATATACTCTCCAGATCGGATCTTGTATCCAAGTACCCCAAACACATCACCGAAAGATGGAGAAAACGGCGGGCGACAGACTGTGTGCGGGACGGTTGTTATCCGCTACGAAGTTATCAACGAAATAGATACATAGACCGTCTACGTACCAGTAAATGCGTACGTAGATCAAACGATTCACACACAAACCGCTGGCTCTAGATCCCGCCCTGTGCGAAATCTCGCCGTGAAGCCTGCACAAAATAATACGAAAGTAACAGTGAGCTTCCACATAATAGCTTCGACTCAAGAATATTCGCACATTCACAGCAATCACGCTAAGATTTGTTCGATTCCAACGACTGTTCACCATTACACATGCATGTTACAAAGCCTGATGGTGTGAGAACCAGGTGGTCTATTGAAGAGATCGTTCCTCAAATCTAAAATAAACATGATACACCCAGCATCTAGGTCTCCGACGCCGTGTTGGCCCGAACAGCCACCCAACAGCGAAGACAGTTAGGACTGGAATTGGTCATATCGAGGAGGCTGTGGAGAGAGCCGCGGGATATGTGCTTGCGTCCCTGCGTCCCTGCTGCCGCTGCGGCTGATCTGCTTTGAGAGAACCAAAGGTTCTGGTTTCGGAACCAAAGTTCTGCCACTTTGTTCCAGAAAAAAAAAATGATAGAGGTGGCGCATCCCACACCGCAGAACTGAGGAACATCATCATCACCACTCCCTACGCTCCTCCCTGTGTGAACCCCGCCGCCCACCCAACCATGCAGACTGTCAATGGGCTGCTGGCCTTCCTTATCTTGTGGCATGGAGCCAATGGGTTTTCCTCTACCGGCGCTCATCGTCATGTGTCCGCTGGAGCATCGCGTCGCCTCCGGAACAACTCGCTCTCTCCGCTGCGCGTCACGTCGACGAAGACCGAGGAGGAGCTGAGGGAAAAGCTTGCTCGAAACAACGAGGACTTGAGCGAGGTACGCTCGTTAACATCGAAGTGCTTGGGTGGCTGGCGGAGAGGCTTGTGCGCAGTCGTGCTGTTTACATATGTATCACAACACGTTGTCGATGGAGCCGGTACATGTCACCTTGTGCGTACCGGCGGAACAACAGAGAAGGCTGTCACCACCCCCAACGCCCCGCCCCCTACCCGCCAACAACCCTGCTGAAAGCATTGCTTGTCGCTGCACCGCCCAGCGGTATGGTTGTGGTGTTGCTGCTTGTTTGGTATCCGCGGTGACACCGTTCGTGCTGAACGCATGGTATGTTTGAGTTTCCACGTTTCCTCTCCAAAGAGCATGCGAAGGGTTGTTCGACCGGATCGACCATTGCACAGGATCCATCGAATGGAATGGTGGAGAACCACTGCTGTAAGCTGGCGACTTGCAACAGACTGTTGTGATCGCGCCAGAGGGAACAGTAGTAGCATGCATCGCGTACTGCTGTATAAGGCGGGCGATGCAAGGGGTGCTCCAAACTTGAGGGGCGTGCGTTACGCCGATGGGCGACGACGTTTCGAAGAGACATCGCGTTTTTCTGAAAATGTAGCCAGTGAACTGAACCTTCGACTAGTCTATATATGATACACAGCGGTCACGCGGACTGAACTGCAGTCTGAACTTCAAATATCCTGTTGTCATCATACAATCCCAGAATTGCGGACTGTTTGGAACCCCCCCCTGAAAAGTGGACTACATTCACTGAAATGTGTAGTACACGTCTCACCACGAAAAATGGGGGGACTGGCGCCATAACAACAAGGACGAAAACGAAAACACACACACATCCGCAGGTTTCGACCACACAGCAGCAGCGCTGATAGTGCTAGCTCGCGCATCGCTGCTCCATGATGTCCTCAACAGATCACGCTGTATCGACGTTTGGTCTTCAATTTTGGTCTGGTGGGAGTTGGTTGGTTTGAACGGAGATATGGTTCGTTGTTCTTTCCAAAGCTCTCCCACTGGTGGAAGGTATCTCGTGCACGATTGATTGCTGGGTGCCCTGTCGGCCGTTTTCAATTTTCAGCCAAAATCAAGATTTTAGGTGTCCGCGCCCCAACCCTCCTAGTACCCAGTCCCTCCGCAACAAAACAAATGCCGAAAAAATGTTTGTCAGCCATTGGTCGAGGGGCTACAGTCCCTCCAAAGAATCTGAGCTCCTTGCCAGACAAAGGGTGACTTGGTTTCAGTACGAAAAGTGTCCCCAAAACGCGTGGGGACCCTCTTCATACTGAAGCCAAGTCAGCAAATTTTTCCAGTACCAGGCGATGTACAGTTTTACGACCTAGGAGGCACGCGGGTTGGGAGATGCGTACAGCAAGTCAGAGGCCCAGGAGAGGCATCACACAGCGTACCCACCTAGCCAAGCATGATCGACGAAGGGTTCTCACGTTCGTTTCACACAGCGGAGCCTAGGGTGACTACGGTGCGGAATATAGATAGGAATTTGAGTGCTGTGTCCCCAACGTGTCCCCATTTGGGCTTCCAGTACTAGGAGGGTTGAACGGCTGCGCAGATTTTCTAGCATATACTACCGAACCCGTATTTGCAGCTTGCCGCTTTTGGCCATGAGGATGCACACAAGGATGTCCGTGTTCACTTAACGCTGCCCCTTGGCCTGTATTCCTTTCTCGTGAAACAACTGCTCGTTGGGGACGTGGAACTGTGGTGTGACTTTGACGAGAGCAGGTGGACTCGAAGGTGCTGGAGAACTTCGGGGGACTGGAGGACGCACAGTTTCTCGCCGAGATCAAGAAAGAGAGGCCCTATTTTGCCGTCCTCGCCGAGAAGGCCTCTGAAACCGTCGACTCCATCTTGAAGACCTCCAAGAGTGAAAGGCCGGACAGCTCGTCCTCGACTGGCGTACCCAAGCCGAGGGTACGTGTGCTTTGATGGATGAATGTTAGAGAGAGAGAGAAAAGGTGCTACGAGTCAATCGTTGTTATTTTTCGCTCGCTCTGCGTCTACACTACCTAGTAGTAGTTCGTTCTTTGTGCCGCAGTAACCGTCGACAGCTACAGCTGATGGCCAACACATGCCGGCAGCAGGCGAGACAACGGCAGCACGAGCGGCAGCAGAATGACACTTCAGCACCGCACGGACTGCTGCTGGCATGACACGTGAGACCCTCGTTCAACACGGTTTGCGTATGGAAATATCCTTTTTATTGTATTGTTTCCAATATATTTATTTTTTTTGGTGGCCGTGTCCCCGATCTCTATAACGCCGCCCCCGTTTGCAAAGGTGGTCGTTCTGGGAACGGGCTGGGCGGCCCACGCCCTCCTCAAGGAGATCGACGCCAGCAAGTTTGAGGTCACGACGGTGTCGCCTCGAAATTTCTTCCTCTTCACGCCGATGCTGGCGGCATCTGCGGTCGGGTAAGCCTTCAAGCCGATCGATCTGGGCTGTTTTGGCACAAAGAATGAAGTACACGTCCGACGGACCACCATCATTGCCGGCAACGCAGACCTGTGCTGCGCTGTGTGCACAAGAACGACATGATTTCTTGGGCAGTGCACTCTTTGTTTGTGTGTATGGGTCCCGTGCTGCGCCGGATTTGAACGTTGAGAACTGTGTTACTGGGCGAACGGTGTGTTTATGCGTTTCTTTAGCCAGCATGGGTCATGCTATCCGGCTTGCCAGAAAGAGGTTAACCCTAGCGAGGACGAGCACCCGAGAACGTGCGTGGGTACAATACTCTGTTTCGGTGTTGCATGTTTTTCGTATTTTCGCTCGGTGCCTGGCTCGCAAGGACCGGCTATGTAGACTGCTGTCGCGATGGGAATATTATAACTCCAGTCAGCATGGAACTTTAGCTTTGTGTTGGGTTGTTTCTTTCATTTTTTGGGTATGCAACCTGTCAGAAAAAACGCCAGCTAAACGGCATTGCTGCTGCTGCTGCTGCTGCTGCTGTTGCTGCTGCACCGGAATCGTTTTGCCGAGGCAGGACGGTGGAGTACCGCTCGATCACGGAGCCCATCCGTAAGGTTAACCCCGAGGCCAACTACCTGGAGGCCACGTGCACGGGCATTGACGTGGCCCAGAAAACCATAACCTGCGAGAACGTGGTCTGTGAGGGTACCACTTGCACCATAGAGGTGAGTGGTGGAGGATTCGGGCTCTTTGACGGAGCTTCAGAAGAAGCTAGTTTTTCTGCCAGCTGTCATAACGAAAGACTTCAGCACCCCGACAGAGCTGTGTAGGAATGAGCAAGTGAGTACAAGCATGAACACCATTAGTCCGCACCTCAAAGGAGCTGCCGGCATGTGTCGAATGAGCAGTGTGGTGGCAGCCTGGGCAGCAATGTACACCTTGCTTACGTGCTGGGGGTTGCTGTGGTTTATGTGAGGACACGATGACTGCAGGGGTACCGTTTTTTTGTGCCTGTTTCGCAGGCTTTCCCAAGAGTTTGATGTGCTCGTTTCCTTTGCTGCCATTTTTAGGCCCAGCATGCAACACGCTTTGTGCTAAGGCGGGTGAACACCACAGCAAACAAACCTTTCGACTTGCCACCGCTCTTTTACCGCTCTTTTACCGCTCTTGTACCGCTGTCTCGTGTCCTCCTTCAATCCTTCCTCGAACGCTTCGTCAATCGCATAGTTTCTCGTTTCTTTTTTTGTTCCCGTCTTCGGCGGTTTCGCTGTTTAAGGACTTCGAGTTGCCGTACGACTACCTGGTGGTGTCTGTCGGAGCCACTACCAACACCTTCAACACCCCGGGCGTCATGGAGCACTGCATCTTCCTAAAACAAGTCCAAGACGCTCAGAAGCTCAGAAAGGTGAGGGGGGAGGGGGGGGGAGGGGAGAGAGAGAGAGAATTGTTGTGGCCATCAGCTTTTCGATGGCTAGGAGGCGTGACCCGAATCCGACACCCTGACCCTGATTGAACCGTAGTTTACTATTTAGTAACCCTTTGGTTGTTCGCCGTTTTTGTTAGCACGGGGTACGAAGATGTAAAGTGACGGAGGTGCGGAGAGGAAACAGAGAAAAACAGGTTGTCTCTTGCGGGCATTCTCTGTCGAAAGCGGTTCGTGGCTCTTTCGTTGCTGAAATATGTCCGACCTGAAGTAGAAGATAATATGCACGTTCCCTCTCTCCCTGTTGTGGTCGCCCCGGTGGTCTAGTTGGAATCCTCGAAACCTTCTAGAGGTCAGGCCAGGGGTTCGAATCCCGGCGTAAGCGAGTTTTTCTTACAAAGTGAGTTTTTCTCTCGCTTCCGCTTCTGGCCTATTAGTGGATAGCGCTAGTTCGTGAGTACACAGAGGGAAGAGAGTGCTGAACTCTTCTCGCATTAAATATCGAAGGCAAAGTACCGCAGGAGGGGAGGGTAGAGAGGGGCTCTTCTGTGTGACCACGGGTTGGAGTAAACGGCACTAGTGCTGTGAGCGCTGATTTGAAGTAAAGACAAAAAAAAAAAAAAAAACGCTGTTCACCAATGTACGTGTTTCGTGTGTTTCGTCTGCGTAGGCGATCGGCAACTGCTTCGAGCGAGCCAACCTGCCGACGGTGACAGAGGAGCAGAGGATCGCCGCCCTCACCTTCGCCATTGTGGGGGCCGGGCCCACCGGAGTGGAGTGCTGCGCAGAGCTGAGAGATTTCATCGAAGAGGTGGGACGGCGGTGTTGGTGCCTTGTACCCCTGCTGCTGCTGCTGTTGTTGTTGTTGTTGGTGGTGGTGGTGGGTGGTGTTTTCGCGTTAAAACGCGGTTCGATCTCTGCTCCGTACTGGTTGACGCGTCCGCCTTCCTTGGTCACACGCTAACTACAAAACTACCCAAAAACGGGTGTTCTACTTCCCAGTTATCCTTACAATATGCATCCCTCGTTTCTAAATGAGATATGTCGAGAGCAGGTGCAGGTACTAAAGTTTGGTCTGCCGCACCAGCCACAAGTCGTAGAATACACACAGAGAGAGAGAGAGAGGGAGAGAGAGCTTGTGTACTGGCGAGTGGCGTGTTATATCCCCTCTCCCTCTGTTGTTTTCTTCCCCTCATGGCTCGACGATGATGATGCTCTACAGGAGGGGCCGCGATTTTACCCGCACTTGCTCAAGTACGTCAGGATCAAGCTCATCGAAGCCAGGTGACATGGCAGACCACGACAACGCAGAAACTGGTAGATCGTAGGGTTTGTGACACGCAGATGTGTTTCTCGGACAAATTGTTCTTACCAATCAGAAAACGTCTCGGGCCGCAAATCCTTAGTAGTTTGCGGCTGGGAGTGAGGTATCACGCCGCACAAGAAGTTAGTCGATGTGTTTGCTACACAATGTTGTGAAAAGGTAATAGCCCGCGAAGTTAAAACGTTGTTGTCGAGTGTCACGCAGCATTGTACAAAGTTGCTGAAGCAACAACAGTATTGAACGTCTTGCGCAAGGTGCGGTAGTAAAAGAAATAGTGGTTGCCTCGGTTGTTCAAGAGTACGGTGCGCGACGTTGGCAAGGTGTCACGCTCTGTGCAACCGACCGGTGCAGTGGCTCTTAGTGCGCGCGCGAAGTGTCTGCACCACGCTGAGAGATTCTCTTCACACTATAGGCTATATATCAAATGTCTTGCGAGTTGTCATGCCATTGTGTTCTATCTACACAAAGCAACAAGTGCAAATGTGATAGCGGCTCCGAGTGCGAAGAGTATTTTGCCATCAACCTTTCACCATTTTTTCGCTCGTTCCTTTTTCATCGTTTGTCCCTTTTCGTGTTTTTTTTTTTTCCCTCTCTTTGTTTTTTTTCTCGCAACAGCGACAAGGTTCTGTCGGTGTTCGACGGTGCCCTGCAGAAGGCGGCGGTCTCCAGCCTCACCGAGCGGTCCACCAAGCTTATCGACGACGGCTTCATCGAGGTACAGTACATTGTACATTGTACACACTCACCGTTTCGTGGTGGTGTTGGCAGTGTACCGCATTGTTGCACGCTCATCGACGAAGCCTTCATTGAGGCAAAAACATCCATCGCTTTGTGATACTGTCAGGGTACGTAGCATTGTCTTGCTGCGAATGAGCGAAAAGCAATGTACTGTACGTGTGATGAATTGGGTGGCTAACCAAGAAAGTCGAGGTGTGGTTATCGAGGGCAACAACGGACGTTCCCTCTTTTTGCTCTGCTTTCTGGCGCGCGCCACTTGCCCGGTGTTGTGGGACAGCTCTCGGTGACCGAGATTGAAGTGACTCGAGGTAGCCTTACATGTAGCGCCGCGTGAAACGCTACAGTTGTAAACAACGTTGTGTGTTCGTCCATGTGCGGTGGGCGTGGCGCGCACGGCACCCTGTTGTACGGGAATTGCCGACGTGGGGCGGGAAACAACCCGTTACACCGGTGTTCATAGATAATCCGTCACTGACAAATCGACGTGCGCTTTTGTTCCCCGACCGCCCTTGAGGGTTTGTTTTTGAACGCGCAGAGAGCAGCAAGCCCTCGCCCCGTTTACTTTTGAGTGTGTGTGCGACACAGACCAAGAGTATAGTGTGATGCACATACTGTATGTGTATTTGGTGTGCAAACCTTTGGCCAGTAGCTGTTCACCCCTTGCCCCCCGTGCTGCGGGTACTGCTGTGCCTCCTGTTCTCGACGTACCGTTAAGGTTGTCTCGGGCGCTGTTTGATATTGGTGTGAAAAAAGCCACCGGGTGCATGCGCTATACTGGTACGCGTCAGCTCAACCAGTACCCCGGACCTTCATCACTTGTTACGACTGGAGCCGTGCTTAACCGTATGCATATTATCTTCGTGGAGTAAGTGCCAAGTCGGTGGCCGTGCCTGCCCTGCTCTTATGGGGGACTTGAGACAACACACATCGGCGAAATATATGATACCGATGGCGATGTGATTATTTCGCTGCCACACCAAGCAGTCAGTCCTGACACCGATAAGTAACCTCACGAGAGCCGCGTTATGCAATTTTTTCTGCGAATGTATCGCGACATGGTTTCAATCGCAATAAAGACGGAGATGACTGAGGTGCTGCTGAAGGTGGGCGTGAAGGCCGTCACTGGCACCCAGCTCGAGCTGTCCGACGGGTCCAACATTCCGTACGGGCTCGCGGTCTGGGCGGCCGGAAACGGCCCGTTGCCCCTCGTGCTCGACCTCATCCAGGGGGTGGAGGAGCAAAAGGAAAAGGCCGCGTGGGGCAGGTGACATCCGGCCTCTGACTACTGCTGTACGTTCACTTGTGCCCCAAGCCCTTATAACCCTTGTATGTGTAGACTAGTATGTACAAGGCGTCCCTCCGGAGCGGGGTAAAGAGAGCACCGAGGCAGGGGGTGATGCAAGAACATGCAGAAAGCAAACGAAGGTATAGACATTAGAGTACGCACTGCTGTGAGTTCCGCATTTACCGTTTTTCCTGATGCTGCGTCTCCCACCGCCGCCGCGGATTCCAGGCCGCCAAACGACTTAAAATTCATCATAGCCGTATTTATTATTGTCGCCCAGGAAACGCACACACACACCCTCGCCACCGGCGGGCAGAGAAGAAGCCTTGTATTCGCGCGTTTAGCATGCAAACAGTATGTTGTAGGGCCGTGACCGTAGCATCACGGTGTGTGTCGCACATTCCGGAGAAAAGAAGTAGAGGCGACATGGATGAATGTGGATGTATTTTTTGTGAAGGTGGGGCGCGGATCGAATGAATCCGCGGACAGGAGCACGCGTGTGTGCGTGTGTTTTTTTTCAAAGATTAATAGAAAGATGGATACACGTAAGTTAACAGACACACCCAAACTATCACGCAGTACATGCAAACATAAACACGCATGTACGTACTGTGCACCCACCACGACGAGAGGGAAACAAATTCAAATGGACGAACTCACGTCCGCAGGGACCTGGGTGCAGAACTATTTTGTCGTCACTATGTTGTACGTTCATACAACGTCGTTCTATGTTCGGTCCAACGTTCCGACTTTGTGCCGAACAATTATATGCACCCATAGGGACGCATATAAGCCATGCACCCACACCTTTTTTTCCGACGGAAATCTTGTCTGAGGAACGAGCGTCACGAACATGCATGCGTTCAAACTGTCGCTCTACTACAGGCAGGGCAGGCGCAGTTTTCTGTCCCCTCCAGCAGCAACTACATGAACCCGGCTAAATCTCTAACGCTAACACCCCTAACCCCAACCCCAAACCGACCCAATAGGTGCTAGGTTGACATTGGGTGGCTCAGTTGTAGGTTGTTGTGCCTGCATTAGGGCTAGGTTAGGGCTGGGTGGCTCAGTGCTAGGTTGGTGTGCCGGTATTTGGCGCTAAATAGGTTGGTATTGGTGGGATAATCTCTAGGTTGGTATTGCATGGATAGGTGCTAGGTTGGTGTTGACGTGGGTAGGTGCTATATAGGTTGTGTGGGCCTAGGTCGCTCTTGGTTGGCTCGGTGGTTCTATCGGTAAGGTAAAATCAGGTGTGTGTGTATGGCTTATGTGCGTCCCCATGGGTGTATCGACTATTTTTCGACTTTGTGCAAGCTGTGCTGCTGCGAGTCGTGGGTGCTTGTTATCTACAACAGTAGTACCACAGCGTTTGTTTGCCTCACCAAGGGTGAGGGCCAGGGAGGAGGTGTAATAATGCAATATGAGCAGCCAAGACCCGAGCAGCAGAACGAAACAGCAGCAGCAGCAGCACAGCTGCACAAACGTGGGAGTAGATGACAGCAGTAGAAAAGAGAAAACCAATAAACAGGCGGCGGGTGTTGTTCTGAGTTGAAGAGAGGGCAAATGGGACCGACCGACCGACAGCTAACCTCGCACCGTCAATCAGCCGCGCTTCGATCCACAACGGCGTCCCACCTCTTACATTACTATAGCACTTGAATGGCCTACCCGCTTTACTAAACGGTTCAGATCTTTCCCGCGGGCGGGCGTGTTTGTTGTGTTGTTCCTCCAGCGTGCGCAACCACGGAGTACAGACGTGTGCGTTTTCTTTCGAAACTGCTGTAACACGGATGGATACCTGTGACAGAGCAAGGTGTTCTACCCGCTACTACTGCCGTGCTAGAAAGAAAGAAAAGAATGTTACAGCTGCTTCAAAGAACATGAAAGACTCTCCGAGTCGAACAGCCTCCCGGAAACAGAATGGAAAAGAACACCCGAACAGCCTCCAGTGCTAACGACCAGCCAACACAAATGTATAACTTGCTGTTCATATGTGATATTAGGGGTGTGTTAATTACTTATTTATTATTGGTTTTGGTTTGTGGGAAGCGATATGTAATATTTGATGTCGTTTTCTCGCCTTGTGCTTTGTAAATTTTGCGGTCTCCGCCTGTCCGTTGTTCTTTTTTGTGCACGCAAGCACACGACGTCTTGTCGGTCTGTTTAGCAGGGCCATGTACAAGGTTCGGCTTGTAGATACGACGCACGTGCTGTTGTGTTGTAATTTTGTTCTGCTCTGTTATATTTCTCGGCGACGTACATATATGCTCGAGCGCGGTACCTTGACGAGCATGGTCGGGGTGACAAGTTGACCCACTGACTCGCCTCGTTTCCTTGAAATGGACGCTAGACACCTGTAGCTTCTGTGATCTTACCGCCTGCTTATGGCGTAAACGCCTCCTCCTGTTTTGACGCCCCTCCTCCGCTTCATGAAAACGACGGAAAGGGGGCGGCTGGTGACGGATGACTGGCTTCGACTCCTCGGCGCCCCCTCTGTGTTCGCCTTGGGTGACTGCGCCGTTATCAACGACAAACCTCTCCCGCAAACGGCACAGGTGATCCCGTCCACAGCAAGCAGCCTGTCTACTGTATCGTTTGATGTAGTGGAAGAAGGTGTTCATGTTGTAGGGTCAGTCAGGTCCGGGTGTTGGCGTCGCAGACGGCACAGGTGGTTGATTGCGTGTACAAGCTGTCCGCTGTTTCGATTCCTAGCAAGAAGGTCGAAGGTGTTGCGGGGGGAGAGTTTAGAGTCCAAGCCGTGAAAATCACTATGCTGGCGCTGCGCGGGTTCCCTGAGAAGGGTTGCACGCAAGGCGAATGTGTCAAAGGTTTGGCAGAAGCGAGAAAGCGGGAGACGAAGCAGACGCCCCATAGGACATCAGCGATAACGTGTAGGCTAGACGTAACAATCGCCCCCAAAGGTAAGATAAAGAGTACCCGGCACATTGACAGCCCGCCGCTCGCCCGTTTACCGTTCTCCGATCGCCAGTTCCTCCTGCTAACCTCCCGTGAGACCAAAGCCGCCCTCCGCAGATCAATCGATGACGCACTTCCGCAGCACATGAAACGCCTCTTTGTTGATATTTTTGAGTTTATGCTACCAACATAATGACAACGTGACATCACACTTGGACGCTCTGACGTCACTCTCGGGGCATTCAATCCAGGTTGCTTCGCAGCAAGGGACGTACCTGGCGCGCCTCTTCTCTAGAGGGTTCGAGTTTTCCGCCACGGTACCGCAGAAGAACACCGACAACGAGGGAGTCGAAGCGGCTGCCGGGGGCTCCGCGGCATCATCCGACGGATCAGACACCCCCCTCGGCGAGGACGGCGGAGAGAAGGTGCCTCTCTCCGAGAAGCTGGGACTGAGCATCGTCAAGGGGAAGTTCGCCAAGCCCTTCCAGTTCCTCAACCTCGGCATCCTTGCCTACACCGGCGCTGGCGGGGCGCTGGCCCAGGTCCAGGTGAGGCAGGGGGGTACAGCAGTAGTCTACGCAATTTTTTGTTGTAAAGTAAGCAACATGTTAGACAACGTATTGACTAGGCAAAGTTGGGGTTACGTAGTACTTTCTTTCTCTGCGTAGGCAGTCGGGGGAGGGGGGGGGTAGGGGGGGAAGCCCACGACCAGTATTTTTGTTTCTTTTGCGGCTGAGAAATCGTGCTCGCACGCCTTGTCTGCAAGAGAGAAGAGAGAAGACCTCTACAAGAGGTATCCCAACGAAGCGCGCTCCTGGACGCAGAGCGTCGTGTTTTCGCCGACCCAGCAGGCTCCCGGGGTACTCTTGTTTGGTGCTTCATTGTTTATTGGCGGTTTCATCGTGTCATTGGTGGGTGCGTGTATACCTTTCGGGACCGGGGCCCCGCGTGTTGTCACCTGGGGCACGAAAATTCTGCCGTCGTTTGTCGATGTGGCCGCCTTGTAGTCGTGCGATAGTTTTTGCCAACTCTTTTTTTGTGTTCCGTCGCACCTCGATAATGGTGGTCATGATGTTTTCGTGTGTTGGGCAGGTTGGCAAGGAATCGGTCAAGAGCACGGGGGCCACCGGCTACCTCCTGTGGCGAAGCATTTACCTCAGCAAGCAGGTAACGAGCATGATTGGTCCTTCGTTGGAAAATTTCACGTCGACAACCGCAGGTGTCCGTTCGCATGTACATATGTACCAGCAGTATGAAACACTTGACACTTGATGCAATCAAATTGTGCCCTAGGAGACTCATCCACGGCCGGATTGAAAGCTGTGCAACGTAGCCCTCATCGAAGTTGACCAGTCTAGAGCGATTTTTTTTAGTTCTTGGTTCTGAATTGTGTTGCTTTGTGGGCTGAACACATCGTCCCAGCATTACGAAACTTACAACTGCTGTGCATTGGGTAACCGGACATCCACCGAGTGGGAGCCCGTTTGGGAGGCAGGTGACAGACGAATCGTGGCCACTCATCGTGTTGCGGTGTCCCAGGCCAGACGCGAGGGCTGTGGCCAAAGATAAATACCGTAGTGAGGTACGTAGATTTGCCTCGTGTGAAATTGATTTTGCGGTGCCCCCCCCCGCCCCCCCTTTGCTCGTGAAGGTGTCCTGGCGGAACCGCTTGCTGGTGGGCACGGACTGGGTCAAGACCAAGATATTCGGCCGGGACATCACCCGGCTCTAGAAAGAAGAAGAGGCTCGTGTATACTCTAGTCTACGTGTAGAAAACGGTCTGTCCTATCTAGACCACTCACGTTCTAGAACATGGTGTGCTCAGATTGAATATAGGCTGGTCTCGTGGAGGAGTCGTGCTAGGCTAGTTTGAAGTGCACGAGTCTTCCTGCTGATTACATAGACTCTGTTGTACTACTCTGTGTTGTTCCTTGAACAGGCAGCCTCTCACCGCGGAAGTTGCCGGTCCCCTTTCGGACGACATAACGCAATTATTTTTGGGCTCCATTCCCGATTGTTGGGCCATTTGTTCCCGTACACCGTAAACACGTTGCTATGTGGCTTGTGGCCTTTCCTTGCTCCCCAACACATGAGAACCAATGGAGTTGGGTTGCGAAGCGACGTGCATGTGCCGGCCGGGTGATGTCGCCACTCGCGAAAAGTAATACCGCTGTGAAGGTACGCAGCAAAGACGGGATCCTTCGTCCTCGCCTCCTATACAATGTAGTAATGGAGTGGATTGCGGTTTTTGGCTAGACAAATGCCACCTTTGGCGTTGCAAGGACACGCACTACCAGCTGTGGGGGGGACCTCGTTTTTTTTTTTCTCTCATATTATTCCCGCGTGTTTGAAGTTGAGCAACTTTCGCCTACTCTCTCATGGGTAGATACCGTATCCCGTACCGTTTCCCGTCCTTTTGCGGTTTCGGCAGGCGCATGATGCAGGCACGGCATCCAATGTTGTCGCCGTACGTTTTAAGGATTTAAGGATTTTTCGCATCAAATTTGTCAACGTCGGGACTGACAGGCGAACTTGCTCGGTGCTCATTAAAGATCCATTGCGGGATTGACTCACTAGTGGTGTACTGCAGAAAGAGCACCGTATCATACGTCCACCTGAACACTCTTGTGTGCGGGAGATTGTAAAGCTTCCTGGAATTAATTACCCACAACATTGAATGCAGCTTCGTGGTACGCCCATGGAATGAATGTGGAATTGCTTGTGTGCTTGCGTCTACTTTGTTTGACTCAAACCCTGGTCTTTCACCGGGACGGCGGGGGGGGGGGGGGGGGGG